ATCTGATATACTCGTGCATTCGCGTACATCTGATTTGGTTGGCTTTGTTACGTGTCTTTTAAGTCCAGTCTAGTCAGAAATTCACAGTGTGGACTCCAAAAGCTTCGACACAGAAAGACGACCAATATACATGCTGCTGCCGACAGTAGACTGATGATCCTCTTTCAGGCGAGCATGGTAGCTACAGCCCATCCGCAAACCTAGCCGATTCTGCTCAAATTCGGAGGCTTCCTCGCCTGACATGTCCGCGTCGAGAAACTGCGAAGGGCTGAAGCCGCGAAACTCTGTCTTCCGTGGCAAAAGTGACTTTCTGTTGAAGCCGACCTTTAAGCGTCTATCGGACACTTGCAACACTCAGGCGGCTGACTGATCGGGAAGAGTTCTGCGAAGAGGAGCGATTCAGGTCTGGGGATTGTTGGCAATGCGCATGTCATGTTGGAGGTCTCAGTGCACAGTGATGTTTTCAAGGAGCTATGCTCAGTTGTTCCTGTGTACTTCTAACTAGCATGTGCTGACGCGTACGCGATGGCGAGTTCGGAAGATGGGAGATGCAAGTGATGATGACTACGACGATAGTGTTCATCAAGCAAGCTCATGCCGATGGAGCTGATGCCACAGGTTCTAATGGTAGCGACAACGAGGACGATGATATTGATGTTGATGGTATTTTCTTTGACGGCCATGTGTAGTGCTTTTGGAGTACAGGAGTTGTAGTCGTCCCGGGTGTAGCCGAGGCAGCAGTAGCAAGGAGCAATAGCAGCAAAAGCAATCACAGCAGGCGTGGTCGTCGTTGTCCTTTCTCGCCGCCAGAATGGTAGTGGTAGGTGCAGCTACTCATACAGAAGGGGCAGTGTTAGAGCAGCAGCACCAGTAGGTATGCAGCAGCAGCAGTAGTAGCAGTAGAAGTAGTTGAAGCAGCAGCAGGAGTAGTAGTAGTAGTAGTCCGATTCCCAGCTGATGATGGAGCAGAGCCTGGGTTCAAAAAGTAGTAGTAGTAGTAGTATCTGCAGCAGCAGCAGCAGCAGTAGCCGTAGTCAGTTGCAGCAGTAGCGTCGTCGTCGTCGTATTCGAAGTAGCAGTCGGAGTCGTAGTCGTCGTCGTGGTGAGTGGTGAGGGGCTGTGGTAGCAGCAATGATAATGGTACAAGTAGCAATGGTAGTTGTGGTGGTGGTAGTAGTGGTAGTAGTAGTAGTAGCAGCAGCAGCAGCTGTTAGTAGTAGTAATAGTAGTAGTAGTGGTAGTAGTAGTAGCAGCAGTAGTAGTAGTAGTAGTAGTAGTAGTAGCAGGAGTAGGAGTAGGAGTATAGGAGTAGGAGTAGGAGTAGGAGTAGGAGTAGGAGTAGTAGTAGTAGTAGTAGTAGTAGTAGTAGTAGTAGTCGTAGTCGTAGTCGTAGTCGTAGTCGTAGTAGTAGTAGTAGTAGTAGTAGTAGTAGTAGTAGTAGTAGTAGTAGTAGAAGCGAGTACTCGTTTCTAGTGCCACTGCCAGTACTCGACCCAGTTCCAGCCACAAGTACTAGTACAAGCGCTAGTACCAATACTAGTACAGGTACTACCACCACTACAGGCCAGCACAAGCCGCCCAGTAGCTTTAAAATCTCCGCTGATGAAGGTTAGAGAGCGCGGGCTTTGACGTGGAAGATCTCCACAGGTCGACGGGTCGTTGATGTGTGGAAGGATTGGGATATTTGAGGAGTCCTTGCAGCCTTGCATGGCAAATCTGACTGTCAGTACAGGCGGGTGCCTCTTCGTGCGCGTGTTTTGCTGGAGAACCTCGTTGTAGCTACTCATATGTTCGTTCTGGTGGTTGCATGCTTCTTTCTCTATTGGTGTAGCGCATGCATGTGTTGCTGTGTGATTGTGCATGCCGTGCTGTGCGGACGGGTCACCGTCCCGCTTGTGTACGGACAGGTGTTGTCTTGCATGAAGCCTATTTCCTGGAATGGATGATACCGTTTCCGGGGAGTCATCTAGGCTTAAATTAGAGCATCTTAGCAAGCAGCCGAGACGATGATGGTGCTGCCGGTGGTTGTGGTAGCAGCAGTAGCAGCAGTTGCAGCTGGTTTCGAGCTTCGTTGGACGTGCCTTTTGTGTCGATGATGGTTTCTGATGACGTAAGTTTTTGATGGGTTGATGCAATGCAGAATTCGGAAATGATTCCGACTAATCAAGGTGTTTGTGTACGTTTTCCTGCTTCCTCTGTGTCATAGCATTCATAGCACAATAGCGAGATGTGACTCCGCCCGAAACACTACGCACTTTCAACTCCCCAAACCCAACAAATGGGGCTGGGGTCTCCATATATGGATTGTGGTTCCTTAGTCGGTTGTACTCAGGGGTGGCCTGCTGTCAGCATGATGTCATAAACTACACTTACGCACTTGGTTGTGGCTTACGCATGCAGTATGTCTGACAGCACTTCGTGTCCGGTGATACCGATCGGATGTGCCTGCTAACGATTTGAGATCAGTATCGCTGCAGACCTTGCCAGGCTGTGTTCGAGTGTGAGTGTCAAAAGAAACCCTTGAAAACGCCCCTGCCCACCCCGAATCCCGAATTGCCTCCAACTCCAAGCCCCAAGATTCTATCCATGACCTTTTGCGAGGCGTGTTCACGGCGAAAGTACCTTTGCCCCGACCGAGCTTCAGAGGCCTTCCTCCAGCAATGTAGTGGAAGTATCAACAATACTGCCAAACATGACAGTAATGTGAGTAGTATGGTCATGTGCAAGCCGTGTAGAGCTGTGTACGGCTGGGTTCTGCTAGAAAGTGTGCTTGTTCTGTGCCATGCATGATATGCAGTTTGATTATGATCTTTCGTTCTCGACCTTTCGAACGTTTTGGGTTTCGGTCCTGTTCAGTCATTTTTTCGCTTATAGAGTTACTGTTTGCTCCTTTGTACGGCTTGCCGGGATTCTCCGAGCATGGTCCAACGAGCGATCACTGTCAAAAGTGCTTACTTGCTTTCGGGTGGGGGGATGCTTTCCACTGGCAGCAAGACACCCGCACGGCAATGGCAACCCTATCTCAAAGATGGCAGAAGGAACGTCATGTCTTCTTGTTCACCGAGCATGATACAAATACACCGAGATCAGAATGTGGAGGCGTCGAAACATGTGGCAAGTATTGTCTATTTTGGACGTTTGGGTGGCCCCCCGTAGTCCCGAACGGTAGCGAATGAAAAGCGTGACACATAAGTGCGTCTCACTTGTTACATGTTTGACTCCTCGCCCAGCACATGCCACCCGAGCACAGAGGTTTCTGATTCCCCGCCCCTGCTACGGGGTTGGTCATGCCATCATGAAACTCAAACTAGCGGCATGAATCAGAGCATCCTATTCGTCATTCTTCGTGGTGCATATAGGAAGTCATGCTTCCCGCGCGCTTGCTAGATGCCGCCTTTCCTTGTACATTGTCTTTAAAGTCTTTCCCTTCGAGGGCTGCAGACTTGGCGACAACGAAGGCTTAATCGATGTGCAGGCCTTGTAGCAAGTCACCAGTATTTCATGTAGAGGAATGCTGTCGAAGCGCTTCTGGGGATGTAGCGTGACTCCTGCCACGAGGCTGCAGGCATTTGGCTTCACAGAGGAGGAGATCATCAGGCCCAGTGAAATGGGCTGGGCCTTACGGATGTAGGCTTCAGCAGACATCAGAACGTCAAGGCAGACTTTCAAGATCTGGGCATAACTGCAAGAGACAGACAGAAGCCACGATGTTCGGACACGGATGTCGAAGGACGTGAATCAATCCAAGTGAATCTGGAGCAAGTGTGGCCTTTAGCCTCGCCCCGGACCTTAACATGTACAGGAAACTTGCTGACGCTTGCATACTGCACCCCGCGTACACCGCAATACATCGCTGTACTTGCCGTTTGTAGGCTTGGCTTGAGCTGGAAAGTGTTGGGAGTAGGTCTTGAAGGTGACGTCTTTGGGTATGAGTCAGGATTAGGTGTTGGGTATAGTCTTTTTCGCACATGCTGCAGTTTGTGGCTGCCTTATCAGTACAGAGGCGGGCCACAAAAGCTGGTATGGGAGATGTCGCCTCAGGCGACTATGCGACGGCATGGGCTTCGACGACGACGAGTTGCGAAGGCGTTGGCAAGCATCGGGATTCCGACTTTAAGCAGTCGGCCTCTTAAGCATGAGGTCAGGGTTTGAGGCCAGTCGTGGTTGAAATTTTTTCTGAGTTCCACCCGCAGCTTTGAAGGTTCAGGATCCGAGCTGGCAGCCTTCAGGATTCGCTGCCACTGTAACTCCTCATTCCGATCAGCCTTCTGAATCTCAAGACTCTCAAAAAGTCTTTTGGCAATCGGTTGGCCAGTCTCCGCGTCATTGGACTATCCAGGTTTTCATGGGCCTCCTCATGCGGGGCAAGATTATATCTTCTACACGGAACGCAGGTTGTTAATCCGGCCTCGGAACTTGCCACAAGGTACTACTGAAGCCTTTCAGCCTCGGCTGTTGAAGGATTTGGGAGATGGGAATATGGGTTTACTGTACCTGGAAGAGTGAGCGTACACAGACCTTATGAAAGTCTGCGCAGCTTCCAGCGTCAAGGCTCGAGCGCGAAAGTGCAGCTCGTCACCCCAAGAATCTAGGGGACAGACCACAGAAGGGGTCTTGATCCCGGAACTCGACACTGCGCGGTAGTCATGCGCATTCGAACCAGTTCCTTCGCTAGCTTAGCTGCTTGAAATCGCACATAGTCCTGGAGTGCTGCAGTGTGCGGCTCGTGTTGAGAAGCCAAGCTCCTGCCGAAGAGCACATCCACGAGTATCCCCGTACTCAAAGCCAGAGACCGGACCTTGACAGGCTGGAGTTGGCTGGCTTCTCTCTGGCGAAGCTCACGCGGCCGGGGATCTCGGGCAAGGAAAGCGGCAGATTCGAAAGGGCTCAAGGTATTGAGCAAGGGCTTAAGAGGAATCCATGGCCCAGGAGACTATGTGGCGGCTACGGCTCAAGCTTTTACCAGTTTTGTGTGCCCTTAGTCCACTCGTCACGGCACCATGGCGGAGCCAGCACAGAAGAAGGCTCGCACTGCGCGCACCTTCCTTTTCTCTTCCGAGTCGGTGAACGAAGGTCACCCGGACAAGATCTGCGACCAGGTCTCAGATGCCGTCCTTGATGCCTGTCTGAAGGTGGACCCCAAGAGCAAGGTGGCCTGTGAGACCGCCACCAAGGACAACATGGTCATGGTGGCTGGTGAGATTCTGGGTTCTGGAGTACCATACTTTACTCCGTCTTTTCCGTACATTTTCAGTATAAAGGAACTAAAATCAAACAGCAGTGTGTATTGTTTCTCCCTGGCTGCTTCAAAGCCCAGGATTACCACCGGAGCCAAGCTCGACTACGATAAGGTGGTGCGTGGAGTAGTGGCGCAGATCGGCTTCGACAGCTTCGTAGATGATCTGTCCAGTGTGGACAGCAAAGGCTTGAGCCACAAGACCTGCGAGGTCTTGGTGCGCATCAACAAGCAGAGCCCGGACATTGCCGGTGGAGTGCACGTTGGCAAAGACGAGATGGACGTGGGCGCCGGAGACCAGGGCATCATGTTCGGGTATGCCAGCGACGAGACTTCGGATTGCATGCCTTTGACACACAGTATGGCCACCCGGCTCGGCAAGACCCTGACAGAAGTGCGCAAGAGCGGCGAGTGCTGGTGGCTGCGACCCGACGGCAAGACGCAGGTGACGATCGAGTATATGCAGCATCCGGATGGGTCTGTTGAGCCAAAGAAGATCCACACTGTGGTGATCTCTACGCAGCATGCGGAGCCATCCAAGGCCAAGCGAACTCAGGAGTGTGCTGGCTACACCGGTGCCGAGATGGTTGCACCAAGCATGGAGCAGATGAACAAGGAGATCGAGGAGAAGGTCATCAAGCGAACTCTTCAGCAGATCAAGCTGAAGAGCGGCCAGCCTGCCATCAGCCTCTATGGCAGTCACACACACCTGCACATCAACCCCTCCGGCAAGTTCATCATTGGCGGTCCTCAGGGCGACGCAGGTCTCACCGGACGGAAGATCATCATTGACACCTATGGAGGCTGGGGCGCACATGGCGGTGGCGCCTTCTCTGGCAAGGACCCCACTAAGGTGGACCGCTCCGCTGCCTACATCTGCCGTCAGATGGCCAAGTCCGTGGTCAACAGCGGCTTGAGCGCGCGTTGCCTGGTGCAGCTGTCGTACGCCATCGGCGTGGCCAAGCCCCTGTCCCTCTTTGTGGAGACTTACGGCAGCGAGAAGGGCAGCCTGAACGTGGACGACATCACCAAGGTACGGTAGGGACTCCAGAAAAGACATCATTATAACCGGATCTATGTGTGATGGGATATCCCTATCCTAAAGTTTACTTGTGTGCTTTTTGGGGGAGCCCTGCAAGGTGCTGAAGATCGAGTTCGACTGCCGGCCTGGTGCCATTGCTCAGTCCCTGGCTTTGCGTGAGCCAAAGTACCAGGAGACGGCGGCTTACTGCCACTTCGGCCGCGAGCCCGTCACCAAGGATGGCATCAAGTTCTTCGAGTGGGAGAACCCCAAGGACCTGTCTAAGTACAAGGCCATGAGCACGGCTCAGGTGGATGCTGCGCTGAAGGGCAGCACGTACCTCACGAAGTGGGTGGACTAAGTGCGTTTGGTGACCCAGAAACCTGGATTGCCTTGGTTTGCCGGACCCAGACAGCGAGCGATGCCTCAGATCCGCCAGCCATGCGCCGGCGCGTTAGGCAGAGCGAGCCGATCTGGACGGCCAATCGTGAAAACGAGCCCGAACGCCGAAGTGTTGTGAGAAAACAAGACATTCTGTAACGTGTTGTTGATGGTTTGATGGTGATTTGACTTTCGTTTCTTTGCATGGCGACCTCGTCGGTTGCAGAGGGGTAGCTTTCAAGCCTTTACTTGGCCCAAAAAATGCTTGCCCGTCGCCGAACCAACCTCGCCGGCGCAGTCCGAGTTGCGAGAGAGCCCATAGCCCCTGGTAACACATGAATTAGCAGGTGCGGACCCCCATCTGCGAAGCCTCGATCCGACGGGTTACCAGAAACGTGGTTTGAAGATTGGTTATTATTGTTTCTGTTAGTGTTATATCATGTTCTTAGTATTATGATTATCATTGCTATGATTACTATACTTATATGGCCTACGGGACCTACTCCGATGGGAGGGCGTGTTTGTATGACATCTTGGCGTCAGGCTGAGCTGAGCTGGCCGGAATTTCGCTTGATTGAAGTGCCCGTGATGCGAAGCCTCTCTCGTCGAGACGTCGTGCATAAGAAGAGATTTCCAGCAATCTACCTGGCGACGATCATAGGTTGCTGTGAGTGTTGCTTCTGCGAACTTCTGCGAACTCAGAACTGACCATTCATGCTTGAAGGCACCTGGAAATGGCTACAGTGAAGCAACCAGTGCAAATTGGGCTATAGTAAGCTCGAAGAACCCGCAGAGTTGTGAGGTGTTATAAACAGTACGCATGATATTAAAGCTGCGAGGAAGTTTAGGGTTCAGATGCCCAAGCCGAGCCATGGCACTCCTTCTCGCCCTCTCTGCCTTGAGCCTGGCCTCGGGCACGCACGAACATCGAAAATCAGGAAATCAGCAGCCTCATGTGCTTTTCATCGTGGCAGATGACCACGGTTGGGGCAACTTGGGCGTCCATCGCCGGGATACTGGAGATTCCTTGGAGGAGCTCCAGGGAAAGTTGGAGGTTCACACGCCCGCTCTCGACAGGCTCATCGACGAAGGAATCTTGTTGGACCGCCACTACGCCATGCATGTTTGCTCCCCCAGCCGTTCCTCCTTGCAGTCGGGCCGCCTTCCGGTGCACGTGAACCAGGCCTTGAACGACAATGACCTGACGTTAGTGAATCCAAAGGATCCAGTGAGCGGCTATGCAGGGATCCCGCGGAACATGACGTGCATCGCTGAAAAGTTACTCGCGGCTGGCTACCGCACCCACATGGTCGGGAAGTGGGATGTCGGCAGTGCGACGCCGCAGCACTCACCGAAAGGTCGGGGATATGAGACTTGGTATGGTTTCTACGGCCATTCTAACGATTATTGGCACGCGACAACCCCGATGACTTCAGGGTTCGGATCTGTTGACGTGTGCTTGAACCAGATGAAAGACTTGTCCATGCACAATTCAAGCTACTGCGGTCCCGTTCTCGACGATGTCTCCTTGTCAGCGGTGTGCGAAAGCGACGATGATAAGGAATCTGAACCGTCATGTTACGAGGAGCATCGTTTCAAAGAGAGGGTGCTGGAGATTATCCGGTTCCATGACACAGAAAAGCCCTTGTTCCTTTTTTATGCCTTCCATTTGCTTCATCTTCCTTTGCAAGTGCCGCAGATGTGGCTGCGACGAATCGACGACCTTGTTAAAGCGGCAGGTGGCAATCCGATTGATTCCCAAAATCGACGACTGTATGCTGCCATGACTCTTTACATGGATGCCGCGATAGGCGAAGCAGTCGAAGCCTTAAAAAAAAAGAATATGTATGACAACACGTTGATCATCTTCGTTTCCGACAACGGCGGTCCAATCTATGAGCCCGGTGGTGCCTCAAACCATCCTCTGCGAGGAGGGAAAGAAACCCTTTTCGAAGGAGGTTTCCGAACGAATGCCTTTGTCTCAGGAGGCTTCGTACCAGAATCTCGACGTGGCACGAAGTTTGAAGGCGTCATCAGCATTGCGGACTGGTACGGGACGCTTGCAGAGCTTGCCGGCGTGGACATTGAGGATCAAAAAGCCGAGGCGGCCAACAGGTGGCTGCGGGAAAAGGGCCTCCCCCTGCTGTTTCCGGTAGACAGCGTGCCGCAGTGGCAAAACATCCTCCACAACCGCAACGGCAGAGCGGATCCTCTGCATCTGGCCACGGAAGCCCTGCTGATGTGGCCATACAAATTGCTCACTGGCAAAAGCAAGTTTGGTGGCTGGACAGGGCCCGTCTATCCGAACTGCTCCACCGTGCAAAGCGTTCAAAGTCAACAAGGACCACTGGCCATACCGATGCATTCAGATTCTGCTACATATTTGCCCGAGTTCTCCGACGAGAGCAAGGAGTTGCAATCCTGGACTGTCGATTGCGGTGAGGGTTGCCTTTTCAATGTGAGGGATGATCCGACGGAGCACGTGGATTTGGCCAAAGATCCAGACTACAAATCCACCTTTGAAAAAATGCAGGAGACGCTGCAGCTCATGAACCAGAACATCTTCGATCCCGAACGTGGATCGCCGACGGTGGAAGCTTGTATCGTGGCCATCGAACACGGGCGAACCTTCGGCCCCTTCTTAGATGTCGGGGAGTTCTACAGCCCTACACCTGAAAGGAGCCCAGATCAGCAAGCTGAAGATGCGGTACTGAGTTCCACACTGCGCGTCATAAACATGGACAACAACAAGCTGCGGTTTGTGGAGGAGCTGATTGAGGAGGCGAAGCACAATCCGCATGTGTATGACAAGTGCCTAGCGCCGATGTTTCGGGATGTAGACCAGTAGCTTAGTGTATGACCGTCGCATACCATCACCTCGCAAGAACGGTAGGGCGCTTATGATGCTTCTGTTCGTTGGGATAGGACTCCTGCTTTGCTAGGCAGAAAATCTTACAAAGCAGTTGTTCTGTGGATTTGCATGCTGTTACAGAAGCTTCCTCATAGGTTTTGCATGTTCCCGGCACACACTGTGCCACCTGCAATTGGATGATTTTGTTCTGCGGCATGCATGTCGCACGTTATTCAGTCGTCTCGCCCTAGGTGGCAAGATGTGGCAAGGGCCCTGCAGTATTGCGCGAGTGTAAATGCGTGACATCAGTCCCTCGTGACTGCGTGTCCTCTCTTCAAAAGGCCTGCAAAGGCCCTCGTCAGCTTTCGGCTGTTCTTTCGGAACCCTGCAATCCGGGCTGGTCCCATCCAGGTGGGAGGCAAAAAGGCACCTCGAACTCATTGCCTACACAGCCCCCAAAAGGCCCTCCGTTTTTGCAAACCCTGCAGAGTGAAACCCGCTACAATCTGAGGCGGGTCTTCGGAACCAGTAATCCCACAAAGGAGGAGGAGCAGCAGTCGAGGTGCGGCTTCAGGAAAGGGTTTGCCTTACATACTTATTGCCTGTAGACTCAACTTTTCAACTTTTGGGGTTCATATAAGGTGGTCGTTTCAACTTTCAGTTCCTTGGGTTTTGGGCCAGTGACCATAACGGTTCCCGTCTTCCGAGGCTTGCAAGCAGCTGGGCACGGTGATTCAGATGTGGGTGGTTGTCAATATTAGGGTTTGCTTTGGGGTCCTTACTATAAAACGGCACCTTATTCTTCAGGTACTAAACCCTAAACCCGAAACTGGGAAGCGAGATAGCTATCTGTAGTACCGACACGCACCAAAGACCTCGTCTGGCTTGTTCCGAGTTGCGAGAGCGTAAACCCGAAACCCCTAAACCCGAAACCCGAAACCCTAAACCCTACCCAAAAAGGGGCCCAATATTTTCGGATTTGGGCCTCCGAACTTCTTAGTCATGAACCCTTCGCAGCCTCAAAAGGAGATGTTGAACAGGCGAGTCTCCCAGATCAGACCCAAAGCGGACATCTGCACCTTTTTCGGGCATTGCTTTTTCAAGATTCAACCTACAGTCTCCATCGTAGTTCCTTTTTATTTATGGTTTAACCAAATATATAATTAGGATTCTAAAAGCTAACCCCAAAAAGGAACTACAATGGAGACTATAGGAAGATTCCACATGGTTTGTTGATCAGGATCGGGCTTGGAGAGTGTCTTGTCACATGATCCTGCGTATAAATGCACACCCAAGAGCTGAAGGCACGGCGCGAGTTGCACCAGCCGTATTATACTATATCATACTATAAAATATCATGTTATACTATAGAAATTTTATCCTATTAAAAGGCCCACCATGAGCCCGGAAGCCCTGGCAGGGCCATCCGAAGTGCTTCTGGTGTTTTCGAAGAAGGTTCACGCAGGCTGGCGGAAAGGGTTCGGGGTTTGGCGCAGGGGACTTGCTTGCATCCCGATAAATTTGAGAACATGTAGCTCAGAATTGAAATTCTACAGTGCTGGGCGCTGCAGCCTGCAGCACCAGACTCGAGAACTGCTCACTGGGCAGAACTCATGGGCTCGTTTGTGCCGAGTTTTGAATTCAATCGTCCATGCATGGTGTGGTTTGTAATCTGTTCTGTCAGCAGCACTAATTACACCAGAAGATCCTTTGTTATTCTGTGTTAAACAGGGTTGGGGCACCAGAACCCCAACTGCCACTCCCGAGCTTGTTGTTAGCTAACCCTATACCTTACTTTTCCTGGTATTCTGAAGTCAGTGCGGATGTTTGCACCGCTCTTCTAGTTTTCGCACCCGAAACCCATCAGGGTTCTGCTCGGCTTTGGTACTAAGCAGAGCAATGTGCAGGCTCGGCGAATCTCAGATCAAGAAAGCTTTGCGAAGGCCGCGCCAAATGCTTCGGTAGCTCCTCTTGTTTGTGCCTCGTACAGAGGTAGGGTAGCAGCGTAGCATCTTTGAGTAAGCCGATTGCGGTGCTACCCCGACCCCGCATCATTATTTGTGCACTGATCCTGACTTTGTCTTATAAGTCCGATGATGCCTCTTTAGGCCTTGTTTCGTGCTCGGAGCTTCATGTTGCGGTCCATCATGCTCGTGCTTCCTTTTTGCTTGCCGAGCCTTGTTCTCCCTGTGATGCCCTGTGCTGCGGTACCGCCCGGTACTCACTTCTGCCACACGACGGACGAGTTCGACCCATTCACCAGGTGTCATGCTGCCTTTTGCAATGCGGAGTGTCATCGATTGACAACAGCTGGATATCTTTAGCCATCTTTCTCTTTGCATACTCCGACCGGAGACTCCGCTCGCTCTAAGCTTTGGCGGCCCAATTCAAGCAGGTGTAGTATTGTCAGAGCATTTTCCAAGCTAGTCTAAGCTGCAAGGTGGGGCCGTGGCTTGTCATCCCAGCTTGCTACTGGCATGTACTCGCGAACCGACCCGAGAGACCTCGACTGGTTGTGTCCGAGTTACGAGAGCCTAAACCGGCCTGAACTCTAATTTAGTGGCCTTAATTAATAATGACCAATACTATTCTGGAGGTTCTTCAACTACTGTAATTATTGTATAGTGGGCCCCAAACCATATTCGAAGTATTGAGAGCCCCTTTAGTAAGCCTGAGCTGTTTTTTGTTTTCAACTTGGAGCTCGCTAAGCTGGCCTACCTTGCCGCTCGCAGCCATAGCTGTGCTGTATCACAAGAATCGCAGTGGCGTGTGTACCGAGCTGCTTTTTACTGGTGTGCCGGATTTCACTCAGCGTACAGCCTTGACCAGGCATTGTGATGCCGTGCCTGCCTTGCCCCAGCGGGAGAGTCGACACACCCCGAAATCACAAGCTGCACAAGGAACTCACGATGCTCGAGTTAAATTGCCGGCATCATCACACGCGCAAAGGGTAATTAGTCAGAAGCAGCCATGACCGCTAGAATCGCTAGACTCCAGCAAAAGTACTTACCAAAACTGACATGCAACAGAAATAGGCGCGTGAGGCCGACCGGCAGTAGCGTTCGCTTCGCTCGTCCCGTGTGGCTTTTCTTCTTGATGGTGTTGGCGTTGTTGTGGCTGGTGGTGCTGGGGGTGCTGGTTGTTGCTGGTGCTGGAGCTGGTGCAGAGGTTGTGGTTGTAGTCGTTGCCCTCGTTGCTGTGGTGAATCTTGCAGCTTCGATCGCAAGGCTCTCCTCCGATGCTCATCTCCTCAGTGAGGACGACCACACGAGGTCCGCACGATCCGTTTTCAGATTTTAGGGGCCGAGTCCCGAAACTTGGTGTCCACATGAGACTGCTATCTTCATCGGCCTTCCCGTCCTGACATGCGCTCAGGGTTGGAGGGGCAGGCATAGCTGTAGAGCCCTGCTTAAAACAAAGGGGTTCGGCCCAGGGTAGCGTGTGAGCTTTCCAGGCTGCAGGGTTGGGGAATTGCGAAAGCTTTGCGGCTTCGGATTGTGGGTATTCCGGGTAGCCCAGACCATACCCTAAATATGTATTTGAAGTTCGGACTTATGAAAAGCCCATGTCATAATAATGTGAGCCCTGAGGACAAGACCCGATGCTGCAACCGAGGGCCGCAAGTCCTCGGAGTCCCGAAAGCGAAGCTGCTTATGGCTTACATGTGGTCATTGCTTTTTTTCTCCGTGACAAAACCGAAATCGAGTGATTCCCAGAAGGTGCTACCTCCCTTCCTCCCTGCCTGCCTCTGCAGAATCCTTACAGAATGCTTCGTTTCCGATTGAGGCTCGCAGATGTCGGGCTGCCTGTGCAAGAGATCCGGAGGCGGCAATATCGGCATCATGCGAGTGGATGCAAAGGGCGCAGGATGTTCTTGCTTGGACGGTACTTGGAGGATCATGGGACTTAGTAAGTAGGTTATAATTGGGGCTATAAGTCCCCTAAGTGGGGTTATCCTAATTATAACCTACTTATAATCTTACTTACTAAGTCCCATGAGCCTTCAAGTAGGGTGTCCTGATCGCAGTCCGGAGTACCCATTCTGGAAACTCCTTGGAATATCATCTATTGCCAGCCTTGGCCGTGACAGAATAGATGCAAGACTGAAGGAGGACATAAGAAGGGTTGTGCTTGACACTTGACTCTGAGTAGTTCCATGACGGCCCAGGCGGTTCGATCCGTTTTGGGTTCTTCGAACCATGGAAAGAATATAAGGGGGTTTCCGAAAATCAGGGGTACCTTATTCTGAGGTCCTTCTAGTCAGGATCCAACTATTTAGGGTACTATATTAGGGTCCCTCTTTTCGGAAACTCCCATATATAGGGTCCTCACCATGCTGGGGTCGAATGGGGCAGAAGAAAGCCACTAGACGCTGCACCCTGCCTGCACCCTGTCGCAATTTTCCGCTCACCTCTGTGCTTGAACAGAGTACCACCCTTGAAGAGTCCCAGTGCAATCGAACTCAAGTGCTCGGATGCCGAAGAAAATCAAAACTGCCCTAAGCCTTACTTACTTACCTCTGCCCTCTGCTAGATAAATAGCTCCTTCTGTCTGTTTCTATCTACTGTGAGTGGCTACAGAGATGGTGATTCGTGTTGTCATCGTCTAGTGCATATAAATATATACCTTCTTTCTTTTTAGTTGGTCGGTTCCCGGCCTCGAAAAGAGACAGGGAATTCTCATTCTTCTGATTCTTCTTATTATTACTACTGACTACGTCTACATCCCGTGTTCTTCCGGGGATCTCCATGAATACGAATCCGTCCTGAGGCGGCTCTCCACTGGCGAGGGTTTCTCAGAGATGGAGATCATGACGCCCCTCTGCTGGACGTGGTTTTGGGTTTCGGGGTTCGAACTGTAGGGGCCCAAAAAGCACATAAGCATAAGCATTTTATCGGGATATCCCTACCGTATTGGGCTTCATTATAAGGGGATTCATATGGGATATATATATCCCTATCCTATGTTTTGCTTATGTGCTTTTTTACTTAGGTGATTTGCACGCGGCTGGGGCAAGTCTGAGTGTCCACATTCCATCTTCCATTAACATCTTGCCCAGATGACAGTCAGCTTCTGCACATCCTCGTCGGACTGCCTTGCTGTTGCATGAAATAACGACAGTAGTTCAGCTCTCCTAACTTGTGGCTCCCCTCGGAGTTGAGATGCTACACAACATTGCCTGCAAGCATCCGGATCCCCAAGCCACGAAAGCAACATCTCCACAAGCTACAGGTTGAACTCAGCTGCCCTCTCCCAATCTCTCAACAGGCGCGGATTTTTGGAAGTTTCGGATTCTAGATTCTAGTTGATTGCTCGCGGAGCCACATCTTGGGTCGAAATATCAGGCGGATGCTTCTTTGTAATTGAACTTGCTCTCCGTGTATTGGGGTCTCCTCGGGTGGTGGATAATTAACGAACAGGCGTCCTTTCGTCGCTTCGGGCAGCCTCACCTATGGAGTTTTCGGACTTTTCTCTAAATGTCACAGGGCTGAATGCAAATCCTGAGGGCTCAAGTGCGTTCTTGCAGCGTCGCGCTCCAACGCGAGGGCATGTCTACAAACAGGTAGTCGGTGTGGAGGTTCTTGGGTGGAGGTCGGGCCCGGTGCGCTCCCTTAGCCAAAATTGCTTCGCCCGCTGGATTGCACGTGGGGCCTTATGCTGCAAAGGACACACGCTGTGTACAAGAAGTGCTTTCAGCCTGATCCTAAACCGGTAAACCTGAAGCCCAAAATCTTGTCAGGCTAGCACCCAGCATCAGCGAGATGGATGAGCAAGATCGAGAAAGGCTCCGCCGAGTTTTGTTTTTAGATTTGGGAGTATATCCTGCAAACCGTACAGCTAGACAACCTTCGACATGAAGACATGCTCTGCGGTCATAGTCATGGTATGATGTGCCCCGAAAGCAGTTGTCCAAGCCTCAATTTGTCGTTTCTCTGCAGACTCGGCATTCCTTCCCACATTTTGTTCAAAGCATGGTGAGTGGCCGGCTCGACCCAGCAGTGAAGTATGCCGAACCCTGGTTTGGGTCTGCGGTGGTGAGGAGTGTGAGGTCGGGAGGGTGCAGCTCACCGGTAAGATTGTGTCAGATAATACTTTGCTCAAACTTGCGGTGTTCATGATTAAGTCGAACTCGGTATTACATCAAATGTGATTCCAGTGACATGTTTGTAGTACTTGCACAGGTGGAGGATAGATTGATAGATATGGCCGTTTACTGGTATCAGTGACCCCAACTCTGGCAGTTCAAAGCGATAGCTTGGCAGAGGTGTTCAGGTTGAGAGGCCGAACATGCATGCCTGTCACTTGATGGTTTTGCGAGAAGAGCGTCACTTGATGGTTTTGCGAGAAGAGCGTGCCCTCCGAACAGCAGGTCTTCCACACAAAAGCACTGTGAGTCCGCTTGAAAAGCAACAATGATTAAGTGGAAACAGGCTGGAGACTTGTGGCATGCCTGTTGAGGAGATCAAGAGGCCCCTGCTGGGTTTTCAGATTTCGCAGGGTTCAGAGTGTGTCGAATTTAGCGACCTATAATTATACGGTTTATACAAAGTTCAGGGTGTGTAAAGTTTAGGGCATTTTAGGGCCATCAACCATCTTCAGGAATTGAGAGTCCCACTCGCGACAGTCACTTTGGCTACCGCAGCGAGTGATGTACCTCTAGGTTGGATACTGCCCCCATACAGTAACAGTCAACAATAAGGCTACCATTAAGGGCCTCATATATCTATCTTATGAATATTATCCAACTGTTACTGAGTGAGGGCAGTATCCAACCTCTAGGTGGTGTTCGTCAGCAATGAAAGAACTTAAAGTTGTTGTTAGTCTCTCCCTGAACGAACGTGCTCATGCATACTCCACCATCACCATTGACAAGGCAGCTCTTTTTTCGATTCGGATACTCCGGCAGAATCTCTAGTTTTGTACAGCTGGGTTCTCCTGGATGAGAAGCACGGATTCAAAGACTTCATTGGATTGAGTGCTCGAGGTCCTGATTCAGAGTCAAGGCTGTTTGCTCAGACGGGGCCGTCGTTTCAAGGGGAGTTTGCTGAACTGACGCCAGCCCTCCTGCTCCCAGTGTAGAGGCCCTGAGAAATTTCCGGATCCCTCTCCTGTGGGTCGGACAGAATGAACTATGCCTCCCCAGACCAATCAGCAGGATTGATCTTTAGGCTTTTGCGAAAGGGTGCTGCGATGGCAGCAGCTGTGACATCCAGTGTCCCCAATTTGAAACGACGCGTTTTCTTTCGGCCTTCACGGTCTTTGGCAGCCTAGACACCTGAAACGCCAGATTCACCCACGTTGTAGCTCCACCTCCTAAATGCAAAATGCTTTTCCGAGTTTGTCCAGAGACAGGGATCGGGATTCGCGGTCTTTCAGCGAGTTTTTCATCTTGGCTTCTGCACCCACCTTGTTCGGGTCCCCTAAGGTCCTGCCCTTCAGACTGCAGCACCCTCATAACATAGTTCAGGCGAACACTGTGTGGGGAGGACTTCACCTTGGAGGAGATTGACAGGCTCGGTTGTTTAGCGGCGTCGCGCACCAAAACCCACAGTGCTTCTACTTTTGTCGTTATTCGAATAGATGAAACCCCTGGAAGCCGAAGGAGGCAAAGCCAAGCGAGTTGCTGGCAGGATTCACGCGAACGGATTCTCCATCGACGCGCTGCAGAGGCCATCACCGGTTCCCTCGGAGGCGGTACAAAAGAGTCGGTTTCTCCAGGTCAGTCATGGCAGAAGAGCACGACGATTCCGACGACGAGGATATGGGGCAAGTGCTCTTCACGAAGCTTGGAGGAAGCATCACGGATCACTTTACAGCCCGAGCCCGGGCAAACCGCTCGGACCTGTCATCCGTAGCATTGGCCAACATGGACAGACGTGCTTTCCGGGCTCAGATGATGGATTGGACGAAAGGAAAAGATAATACATTGAAGGGCTTCTAGACTTTGTGCCGGTTCTAGTGTAAAGTAAGTTTGTGTGGATGAGAAGGCTTCTAAAAGTCCTCCGCAGCCAAGGAAAGCCAAGGCTGTCGCGAAAACGGTTCAGATCTCGATGCCCTTTGCTGATGAGCTGGCGAGGCAGGAAGCGTGCGTTTAGGGTCTAGAGCCAGCGTCTATATAGGGTCCCGAAGAACCTCCAAATGCGATGCGTGAGTGTTCTTTGGAGGCTGCTCCAAGAACGCTATGTCAGTCGTGGGCCCCGGGCACATGTTGACGCGAAGCTCGGGATTTTTTTTGCATTGGCAGGCAAAAATTGCGCTTGCCAATATGTTTGAGCTTCTGAAATGTTGGCGTGTTGCATTTAGCGGTCCTGATATTTAAGGATCCGACTATTTGGGGATTATATCAGGGTTCTGCACCGAAGCTTCATGCCAGGACATGAGGTTCATCAGCTGGTACAGCATTCAGACGCCTCACCCGGTCCATCAGGCTCTTGGATCTCAAGCCACCCCTGTCAGTTGGTTTGTAAGCCTTGGCTAAATGATTGTCCAACCCGTTCCCCCTTTGAGGTCATGAGAAGTCGCAGACAAACGCCATGTGCGGGCCTCGGCCAACGTTAGACTTGGGGTTGCTGGAAGTGGGGAATTTTCAGATGAGGGTTCAGAGCTCAGGGAGGGACCTTGGCACAGGAAATGGTAGGATGACCACTTACTTCGGCATGGTTTTGCCTCTCTGACGGGGTCCACATTGCACCATCCAACCAGCTCACAGGTCCAACTCATTGCAACTTAGTCCTCAGTCCGGTTTCACCGGAAAACGCACATCTAGACTTCTATTAGAGCGGTGGGGCTGCCTGAAAATGACACCTGTTGAGGCAAACCCAAGTTCTCGACGAGCTCCGTACCGCTGCAAGTGTGCCACTTAGAATGCTCAGGGCTTCGGCAAGGATTCGGAGGCTTCTCGGAGCGTAGAGATGATTGTAAGAGTTAGGGGTTAGGGCAGCCCCTTCGCGGTCGCAAGCTTCGGCCTAGAGGGGGCCTCTGGCGTAGACGAGTTAGGCTTTGGTGCCGCCCTGCTGCTGTCAACAGCCTTTCCCCTACGGCCGGTTCTGCGGCTCTGTTTTTGATCGAGGTTGTTCCCGTTTCTGGCAGTCATGTCAAGTCTCCATCATATTAGAATGAAATAGGAGGGCTTTGGTGTGCCTGATGGCTTTTCCGAGTTTTGGAACTCGATTCCGGTGTCTTCAGTGGGATTTGACATAGGTGCCAGGTGGAGAGAGTTATTCTGGTACCGTAGGGTTTAGCAGTTGTTGTTTCGGAAGTTCCGCCGTCTTTGTGTTGGAGCACCTTGGCACGAGGTTACATCTTGTCAGTTGCCACGTGCTGGGGAATGCAGACCAGACAAAAGTTGTCCCAGATGCCTGTAACCCGGAAAGCAGTAATTCTGGCATCGCACACCACTCCGATCCATGCCGGCTTATACAGCTAGGCAGCTTGATACTTCACGCGTTACAGGGGAAGTGGGCAGCGCGTCGCACTACGTTTATCGACTCTCGGATTCTGTGTTGCGCGCAGCCTCGGGCCTCAAATATGAGACCGGTCCCACTCGAATTCTGCTGCACACCTTTTAGCCTCGAAGTCGGAAGCTCGACATGTCTGTCATTCTCCAGAAACCCCGCAGTAAAAGCCTCTTTTCAGGCAGCGCGGCAGACGACCCTTCCGAGATCACACTGGCAGAGCTGGCGCTGACCCAAGCTTTCCCCAGCACTCATGTTTGCAGTACTGGTTAGTATTTTATAGAATTTTTTTTGTCATTATCATTGCCAGTAAGCTAGTATTGCTGCCGTGCAACGCTGGAGTTTAGAAGCTTGTTGGAAGCTGCATTGCGAGCCGTGCAAGAAGAGTTAGGGTGTAATTAGCGTTTATATAACAGATCCGTTTGTTGCGGAACAGCTCCATCGACCGTCACCCAGTCGAGGCCAAAGCTATCGCAAGGGCCATCCATGCGGAGGTGGAGGAGGAGCATATCACTGAGGCCGGGCCGGTCAGCCCACCACCTGTAGGAGAAACCTGAGCAAGGGAAACTTCAGAGACACAAAAGCAAGCATCACAATAATGTAACGGGTGGCCTAGCTTAGCTATGATTGCGGCAGCGGCAGCCGTCATAGGGATATAATGGTGGTCACTTGGAACCTAGTGAGGTCTAGTCAAGTCAATGCAAGTAAATCCCGAACCAACCCGCACCGGCTGGTCGGGAAACACGAGAAGCAAGGTGGCAATGTCTACTAACAAATTCATTCATGCTCGAACCGAAGGCATGTCGGAGCTGCGTAGTAAGGCTTGGTAGCTAAATCTGTAACATGGTCGTTAGAGTCCTCTTTGCCCTCGTCAAAGTTGTAAGTCGTGACCGTCGTCGTGACAGTAGTGATGGCTCTCGTCGCAGAGCGGCCGTAGTGTTGGTATGATAGGGCGACGGCAGCAGCATCAGCATCTGGAGTGGGAGTCGGAGTAGCAGTAGGAGGAGCGGGAGCAGGAGCAGGTCGCCGTCGTGGTACGTCGTGGTGGTGGCTGTAGTGCGTGAGGTATTAGTAGGAGCTGCAGCAGCAGCAGCACGCCTAAGCAGCAGACAGCAACAACACATACTATAATGCTAGCAGTGCAGCAGTTGGCTTTCCTGGATTCAAAACTTTAAGCTACGGGTGGTATCTGTACGTGCCATAGGCGATAGTGCCAGAGCACTAGCTCACCACCCTTCTTATCAACGCCCATGAACCGCTCAGTAGCCTAAAAAATGCGGCGACCTCCAAAAGAGAGCCCGGCGGGGCATCTTGCCGAAGCTTTTGCCGAGCAGGCCACGGAGCTCCTCCAAATGCTCCGTGCTCAGTTCCTGCAGCAACTCCTGGAGGCCGCGATGCACTTGGAGGCCCCGGGGTTCGGGGGTTCGGGTGGCGTTGAGATCTCTGGGGGGATTTTGGGGGTGTTGAGATGCCGGGGCATGGCTGTGGACGACCCAAGAATGAGTTACGATTTAATCACCGAGATGACCGCAAAAAACTGTCACGGTTACACGACATTACCCCTACGGCGGCGCCGATGGCCATGGCCACAACACTGGGAATTGAGCCGTGTTTCCGAAGCACCTACAGCTAGCTTTCAGATATGCCGACGCTGCCAGGATATCGCAGAGCTCGGGGCTATGCTCACAGCCGTGGAAGGCCAGTCGGGTGTAGGGTATTGATTGGCAGGGTTTTCAAACATGTTTCTCCAACTTGTCACAAGAATTCAGAGCAATTCGATATTCCGTTTGCCAGCATCAGATGTTTATGTCTAGCATGCACATGCATGCACAGAATAAAGACGGTAAAGGCTTGGACGGGAGAAGCATGGCTTCTTTGATAAACTTGCGGTGTCCAGCACCCTCGTAGTGGTTGCAAGCATGTTTGTTTGTATTCGTATCTTTGGGAGTGTGCGAGAATGAGAGGGAGACGGAGTAGGGGTAACAGAAAGGGAGAGAGAAGAGCTTGTGCCGCCAGCTGAAACGCTTGAAGCATGATCCCACACCATCCCATCCGTGTTCCGAAGCTGGTTTGGCTTCGCAGCGGCGGGCTGCGGGTGTAGTGCATAGGGCCGATTGCATCCTTAGCCCAATGTGTCTTTATATCAGCCTTCGCCCTCAGAACCCCGAAACCCCAGCCCAGCTCTAGGCAAAGCTTCGGGTTGCAGATTCAGGATCCTCATGCGCCCGGGTCGATATGGTATGTCAAGAAACCGCAAACCTGGGGATCTCTCTAGACTACAGAGATCCACTGAGCCCTCAACCTTAGGCTCCTCAACCCGCCGACACCACCCCTCAAGCCCTACCCTCCAGCCCACCACCCAACTCTTTCAAGGACCAGGGATGACACCTCATATTATTTAAAAATCTTTCCCTACATCTATCCCTAGCCGCCCCTGTGGCCGGATGCCGACTTACGAGAGTCTGGTACCCAGACAAAGGGAAAGGTCATGATGCGTCGCTGACTCGGGGCCTCGAAAATCATTCCTTTGTGAAGGGTACTTACGCATTTGATGTTGGTTTCGTGTGGTATGTGTCACTTTGCTAGTAACTGCTACAGTAGTGCCAATGCTGAAGTGTGCAGGGGTTAGGTGCTAAATTCTGAGTTTCAGGTCTGAGGAGATTAGGATCAGTGGCCACTGTCTTCCTTATCACGATTTCACGAAAGCCTTGAGTGAAGTGTCAGTGTAGCAGTGTAGCAGTGAGAAACATGCATTTGCAAGTTGCGGGAATTTTGGGTGGAGCTGCCACTATGTGCTTCGCACCCTGCAGAAACTTGACAAAGCCGCCCTCTTGTCTTTGTGTCCGCCCGATAGTTGCGAGATCGAGTCCCGTCCCGTGCCCCCCCGCAGTCCTGACAGTTGGCAGGTAGGGCATGGGGACACAGAGTTGCCAAGTTTAAGGCAGCTACTGAATTAAAAGCCGGTGTTGTGACTCTTAGTATGATTTCGTTTAAAATATGACTTCTTATTGCTATTATCATTACCTGAAGTCTGTAGGCAAGAGTTTGCCTTGGCATGCGTAGACTTGCAGCCGCCAGCTGCAAGGTGTCTCAGGTCCTTAAAGTCCTTACGAACCTGAGGGACATCCTCCAAGCCCGCTTTAAGAAACCCTACTAAGTCCGGAAGCCCTTGTTTTTATGAGCCAACTCGGGACATTTTGGGGTCCTTATAATAATGATCCTACTATTTAGGGTGCTATATTAGGGTGCCTATTTTCCCGATTTTCGGAAACTCCCAAAGCTCTCCGGCGGAGGTGGCCCGTGACCATGGGAGGTTCCATCGGGACGGAGTGCACAGGAGAGGATGCGGACCGGCACCATGCATCAGAGATGCCAGAGGACACCGCGGCTTCGGAGCTAGGATTTGGAGTCGGACTTTGGGTTCTTGAGCTTGGAGAATGGTACATTAAGCTTGCGACAATAGTTGTTGGCGAAAACGGGTCCCGCCGGGCAGAGTCTCTCATACTCTACAAGTCTGTTGCCGTCGAGCTTCTGAGTCCGTTCTGTCATGGAAGTGAACCTTTGAACTCCTGAACAGATGAGCAAATGTCGCCAGTTATGGTAAGCAAGAACGACACTCCGATTTCTGCGAGCCTTGTTCCTTTAAAGCCCCTGAAGCCGTGACTGCTTCAGCCCTCCACAAGCGGCTGTCTGCAGGACATGCCGAAGCCCATCAGCTCAGACACGGAACAAGAACCGACAACCCCAGTGACTGTCAAGCGGAAGTCCAAGAAGAAGGTAACTATGGGTGCCTCGGTGCGCATGCGCAGGGAGAAGCCACGAAGTTTCTCTAGGCAAGAAGAGACTGGCCCAGTGCATTTCGCATATAACTCAGGCAGGTATGTTCCGGGTATCTTCACACCCGGAAAGACTAGCTCAGAGCTTGGGGTTCGGGGTGATCGGAGAAGGCCAAGTAAAAACCTGCCCATGAGACCGACCCGTGGCCCGTGAACACCTCGGATCATCAGAGTACTATAGGGGCCTAGATAATTACCTATTCTATGGTGGGTTCCATATAAAAACTATAGTATAATGGGCCCCAAAACACTATTCTAATTATTACGGCCCCTACTTTACCAGGTGAGAAGATCGAGGCGATCACCCCTGAGCAGCAGAGCACCTTTGAGTCTGATCAACAGACGCACCTCGGCGTGGAGCAGCTGCATCTGAACCCACAGGTTCATAGTGTGAAAGGACGATAAAAAGGATAGGACCCTAACAAGTGAGAGCGATGATTGCAAATCTGTGCTGCATCTCGGCTGCGTTTGACGACGGCAAGTATGTTGCAACCTCCCCGAACTGAAGTCTCAAACCCTGAGCCCGAAGAACTGTGCCGTATCATGTCAATCTTTGGAACCTGTAGGGGGTTAAGCAGTCCCAAGTACAGAGCGGCATAGCGGAGGCTGTGCAAAGGCGACAATGAGCCGCAACAGCAAGTTATCTACCAGTTGGGCTGTGTGCAAGAGGCTTTCAGACCACAAAGACTCCTGACTCTTGCACCAGCACATCTAACTTCACCGTGTAGTAGGAGTAATTGTGAAGTAACATGACTGCCGATGATCCATGCTTGTGACTGATAATGCCTCCTACTGCGCAGCTTTATCGACTAAAGCGCATTTCGCTCCGACATCCCGGCAGGCGTGTCGTCTACCCCGAAACCCCCTGCAACCTCGAACAGGAAAAGCACTGCTGCGAACTGAGACCTTCACCCCAGAGCCCGAAATCCTTCAAACGCCTTACAAACGACAACGCAGCTGACAACGCAACCGCCTTGGCACCAGCATATCCGAAGCCCTCAGGAAGCCCTCACTCCAACGAGCTGGAACCCGGCCTCTCGAAGCGATGCGGGGTGTTTCATTCTCTTGCAAGGAGCCTGATATGCTTCAAGTTAAAACTTGGAACAACGTAGATCTCGGGTCTGCTATCCGGCTTGGACTCACGACGCAGCGAAAGGCTCTTGGAGCTCTAGGTTCGGGAGTTTCAAACCTTCAAGCCCCAAACGAAGTTCTTGAACTGATGATCGATGTTGCCTTTGATAGTTGCAGCCAAAAGCAGTTGTAGGACACGCCCCGCTGCTTACCTAAAATAAAACATCATGTGACATGGTGCTCACTTGGTTTTGGGCTAGCGCCTGGCAGGCTAGTCAACAGTACTAGACTAGTTTGCTCCCGTTCGTGGGCTGTTGCATGTTTTCTGTCTATAGAGCATCAATGAGGACCAGATGCAATAAAATGTATAGGTTCTAGCATTGAGAACAGGACATGGATGCCCATAAATGGCGCAGCTATCCGAACCTACTTCTGCAAACCTCGCCAGGATCGTCCGAGTGTGAGTGGCAACAAAAATGGCGCAGCATAACAACTGGCGAAGATGCGATCCTCTTCGGAGCTGAAATGGTCCTCCTGTCAAAGAAGAAGGCGTCAGATGTTACGACCAGACATCCTCTGAAGGGACATGGCAAAACCGAAGCTGCCCCGCCCACCTTTCTAACCCACCTGAAACAAGTAACAAAAGCATAGGTAGGCATCGTGCATTGCAGAAAAGCAAAAGGGCGGTGAAAAGGTATGTGGCCAAGGCTGAGAACCAGGAGGAAGATGAGGGAAACGAAGCTTGGCTTGCAAGTGGGTGGTTGTCAAAATTAGGGTCCCTTTTTGGGGTACCCTAAATAATAGGTGCCGTATGTTGGACCCCTAAAGGGACCATCCTTTTGACAACCACCCAAGTCATGCTTCTGGAGGCTGGATGACTTGGGCGGTCTTGCTCTTAGGCGTCACATGTTCATCTTGCGGATGGAGGCGTTAGAGTTGACGTACATTGTAGAGTACTGACAAGGGGCAAGTAGAAGGACAGCAGAGGAGATTGCAAAGCAATAGGTATGCCATTCATCCTGAGCAGCCCCATAACAGGCCATACTGCACGCCGTCGGCAGTATCCAGAGCTAATCATATTGATAACATCAATGTCAAAGTCGCATGTAACACCGGCAGCCGTGAGAATCATGAACAACTGACACTGACCATAGATCCTTTGTTACTGTTTGATTCCACTGGCGATTCGAAGCCGTTACGGTTGGCTGGGGTGCTGTGTTGAACTTTAATTGCTCCGGAAGCTGCTCCACCCCTTAAGGTTTGAGACCCATGAGCCGGAGGAGAGTGAACTGATAATTTCGACGTGTGTCCCGCCGCAGCTGGTTGAGGAATCAGCCACGGACGAAGCAGAAGACGGCGAGGACATCTTCGAGGTTGCATCCCTGCTGGGTCGGCTTCGGGGCGATGGTTCTTTGGCTAGGTGTTGACGGGGTACAGTACAGATTGCACAACCGCCGCCTCGCTTAGACAAGAGGCCGAACGACTGCTGTACCTGCATCAGCGCCCGAACCCTGTTCGGACGATGTTGGTGAGGATGAGTAGAAAGATGATGAGGACAATGATGATGAGACTGGTGGTGGTGCTGCTGCGGTTGCTGCCATTGATGGCAAGGACCTCTGCTGCTTACGTATGCAGATGACGATGGTGGTGACGGCCATGGCCATGTTGAGCCTGGCCGGGATAGCGGTAACGTTGGGAACGATGGCGGTGCTGGCAGAGGCAACTATGTGGAGGGTTCTGATGACGGCGCCCTGGCACCCTTGTCATGAAACTTCATGACAACATTCCTACTGAAGCCATGCAATTTGTTGCAGCTGCAGCTGCTCTTCCTGTGTGAAGTAGAGTAGTGAGCTCTATGATTCTATGCGGCCTCACCCTTGCGACGGTGCTGGTTTGGGTACCAAAATCAAATGCAGCCGTGCATATACATCCTGGCTGCCATGCTCCAGTCGTTGCTTAATCCCGTGCGGTCGTTGGTGCTGCCTCTTCAGCATACTGACCGGACAGAAGAGCTGCTCGTCCGGCTTCCCGTGATACTTCAAGCAGGTGCATTCCGAGCTGAGCCAGCTGGAAGATTACGTCCAGTCCTGGGTGGAAACTCGGAGCAAATGTTCGAACCGATGAGGGTTGACAGTTGTTGGGCTTGAGCCTGAGTCTGCAAATTGGCGATGTTCCAAGTACTAGGCTGCAAGGATGCCTCTAAAGAATCACGAGTCTTAGGCCGCAAATTTGTCAGTTTCCGAGGTGAAGTACCGGAGAGCCATCCACAACAGGCGAAAGATCAGCTCGGGCATGCGGCGGGCCCTGGACGAGAAGATCTCTGCCATCTCCAACGAGATGCGGAGGCGTGCTGCGCAGAGTTTGGGTTCGGGTTACACAGGTCGACATAGGTTGCCTAAGAATGGCACTCTAAATTGGTCCCCTTCCTTCAAAGTCTGCACATCAGAATGTTGCTCTCCCCCAGTTCGGAAAATAATGTTACTCGTGATGAAGCCTAAAGCTACAACTCTAGCGTCTAGCCTTCTCCGGCCCCATCAACTCGAAACTATCCAGCGGACCTGCTGGAAATCATGTACCCGAAGACTGCATGTACCTTTATCGTAGATACTTAAGCCTTAAAGGGATCCCTAGGCACTCTAAGGCCTAAGTATGTACTATGTGCGCACATGGAGCCCTAAGTGGTAGTTTTCCAGATTGTTGCGCAAAAGAGTACCGTAGCATCAGGGCCAACGCTCTTCAGAACTTCAGTAACCTCCAAACGCACACACTCACACACAGACAGAGACTTCGGAATGGAGCCTGCTCTGCCTTTAGTGTGTATAGTCTTCAAGTGAAAGTTGTTGGATACAGTCTGCTGCTTGGTGTATTTGCCTGTCTCATGACATTGAAGAGGCTCGATCGGGGACGTGTGAGCGTGGCGTCTACAACCACATCCGAGATCTTCATGCAGACGGCGCGGTGTTTCCGTCCTGACTTTCATGAGTCGAATGGGTTTACGATGCTGCCGGATGGAATGCTACTCTCTGAGGAATGTCCATGAGCATTCATGCGAAGTTGGGCTTCTCAGCATCGCTGTCCAATGCAGTAGCCTGAAACGCAATGCCGACGTAGCATGCCGACACTCAAAGCCTCAGCTTCACTGAGTCACTTGTTAATGCATCCGACGTGCTGCAAACAAACGAGCTGTCTAGCGAGGCTCGAAATCAAGGTAGATCCGACAAGACCGTCTTTCGTTGTCCATTGTCCCGGATAGATCCGTGTTGCGCCGACACCTGTGTGCAGAAGGTAGGGTATTACTGTAAGTGATCGATGCGGCTCTTAGCTTGCACTACTATATGCTGGTTGTCGGTTCCTCGTTTTGATATCAACGTGCAAATCTGGAGTGTGCAATCGTTTGTCCTCGGCACGATCTGACATCACGATCTTGCATGCGAATGCAAAAGTATGAGGAAGTTGACATGCTAGAGATACTGGAACACATACATTGACATGTTTCATTGTAGTTTCATATCGCAAACATGTGTGTATGCGTGGGGGGATCTGCATTTATGCATGTAAGCGTGTTGCGACAGTGGTGAGCATCACGGCAGTGCTGACTATTTCAGCTGCAAGAAATACATGGGCCGAATAGGGATAGCTGAGGAGCTATACAATGGGATCGTACTTTAAACTGTTCAGACTTCTGTAGCATCTTGTCGTTGTCACAGCCAAGACGGACTCAGGACCTTTGACCGAACGTGATCGTATCACTATTGAGGATCTAATTCGTGTGCTTTCTCTCTTTTGTCTCTCCCTCTCTCTCTCTCTCTCTCTCTCTCTCTCTCTCTCTCTCTCTCCCTCTCTCTCTCTCTCTCTCTCTCTCTCCCTCTCTCTCTCTCTATCCCTGTTTCTGTCTCTAATCGAAACATATATATATATACTCGAGTATATATATATATATATGTATTCACAGATTATTTTACATATACCGCAGGACGAAAGTTCGCCATACAACATGAAGTTGAGAGATCATCACATGTTGACCCCTTTTCCCCCGTAGAATCCTAGCAGAACCCCGCAAAGCTCTCCGCCGGAAACTATATAGTAGTATAAACTTATTCCCGGAAAGTAATTACTCCGCCACGCTGGCCACGTAAAATGGGTCTTAGGGCTCTCCGCCTCCCCGCGGCATACATGTATGTCATAAGCTGCATGTCGAAACTTTCGGCCCGGTGGTGTACGACACTGTACGTAGATACTTGTTCATGTATCGTGGTGAGGCCTACCTTGGCCTAAAGACCAACCGGCGCTTTCGGAGCCTCCGAGATGTCGTGCGGAAGGCCAGGGGTTAGGGTTAAGTTGAAGGCTCAGAACTGCGCGAGGACGCGCGAGGAGTTTGAATGCAACAGCCCTCCGGGCCCGTTATTGACACCGGACTGCCAGCAATGCAATATGGACGCAGCAGTCATAAGTCGTAAGCCAACACGGAAGCTTCCTGCATCTTGTAAGTTTGGTGCTATAGTCCTTGATTCACCCAGCTCCTGTCCCGAATAAGCACAATCTGTGGCTCCCATTGGGCTGCGGTCGATGTTTCAGTTTGCAGCACTCCGACATCAAGATGTTTGGGCAAGGATTTCGGAGCAAAGGTCTTCGGGTGCCCGGGTGAGGATACCCGAAGCCAGGTAGAAGATGAGATCTTCCTTCATTCTTCATCTTAAAGAGAGGGGCTAATTACCTCAATGTCCAGATTCGGGTTTTCGCATTTCGCTGTTCTAGGGTGGGAACGGCAGTTCCAACTCGCTTCGGTGACAGGTACAGGAAGACATCCGCACACGACGGATTCTCCTGCCACTGGACTCCAACCAGGATTTCGGGTTTAAGCCAAGCCATCTCATGATGGTGCCCTGCGAAGATAATTGACCTGGCTACAGCAATCTTAAGCACAGAGGTTGCAGGTCTTCAGCACTGCAAGGTTGAGGAATTTGACATGAAGACGCCAGGACGAGCTAAGCAAAGGACTCGCACTCGCTTCATCATGATGCGTCATAAATCAAGGTGGTCAAAGACAAAGAAGAACTGAAGAGAGCTTTTGCCACTGCATAGAGCCCTACCCAGGATCTTGTAACCGTACGGCAAACCCTCAAACCTGAAAACCTGGCCCCTTCTTACAGGTATGCTTCTGGAAGGATCTAAGAGCCCAGAGAACTTTCGAGCCACCGTTGAGCTTCAGATACCTGATGCATATTAGCCGTAGCTAACACACTCTCTATCCTTGGAGTATCACTATGCGATGGGGGTTAGTATGCCTCATTCCACGTCTATCTCTGCAAGCCCAGAACTTGAAGTTGGTAAATCCTGGCATCTGCCTGACCAAGGCTTTGGCGAGAGCATTTGGAGAACAGCAGTCCCACAAATAACTTGAGGCAGCGGGCCTCACATGAGGTTTAGATGGTCTTCGGCTTGGAGTGAACTTTGGATTCCGAATGTTTCAGGCCTACTTCTAGTGTTGGGGCCGCAGTGGTTCCAAACATTGAAACGAGGAGGGAACGCTGGGCCCATCGAGGCTTCCTGTTCCGGTGCCCGGGAGCTGGTGGTTTTGGGATACCCGGGCGCTCCCCCCCCATGGAAATTCCTCGTCTGGTGAGTAGATGGGATGGAGGCATGATACTTGGTGAAGAGTCCCAGACTTCGCAACGCTGGAAGCAAACCAAATCCTTGAGCCCGAAGCGGCTAAAACGCTGAGAGCACAGCGCGTTCGCAGGGCGCAGCTGATGATGTCTGGAAGCATGGACTTCGAAGATGCTATCGGCAAGCTCAACATCGACATTTGGGATGGTGTGAATGCCGCCTGGCGTTGGTTTCAGGAAACGAAAGCCGCAGGGCTGAGCCAAGCCATTTTGCTGAAGGTGTTGATGGCTAGAATCTTGGAGTTTTGGGACGGAGACGTGCGCTCTCGATGCTAGGAGCATCCTAGTCCCAGGCCTGCTCGAAGACTGGAGCCCCAGGAATTTGGTGGCAGTGAGATGTCTCAGCAGCCCCAAAGTAGGACAACCCGGGTCGTATGCTGCTGAAAGCAGTTGAATCGATTTACACCCAATGGTAGTGAGTCGCGAGGCAGTTCTGTTGAAGCCTTCAAGGTGTATAGTAGCTTTGCTTTGGAGTTTGAGTCAGGGGGGTTGCACATTATCGACGAGCTTTCCTGTCCCGGAATTTCCAGACTCCAGACCATCAAGCCTGCCTTGTCGACCCGGAAAGCTCTGGGTTGTCGGGGTTACCGGAGGGGTTGGAGTTCGGCACAGCATCAAAGAAGTCCGAACCGCAGACTGCATTTAGCGCAGGTTCTTGAGCTCGAGAGGGCCTGCAACGAGCCGATGTTTCAGGCACAGGGCTCTCACTTCGTACCCATGCCATCGTAGGACGAGGGCAAGCGGTTCAGGGCGTAACAGGGAATGTCAGGGTCGAGCATTGGGGCCACTGCCCAAAAGACAGCTGGCCATGCCGCCCTCATATAAGCCCTCACTACTACCGAAGAAGAAGATTTGTACAATGGGCCATATGCTTTGCGACGTTGTTACAACAATCACGGCTCGCCATCACTTCTGGACTCCAGATGATCTCGCACTCCGCCCGACACCCTGGAAGAGGATATACCTATAGTTCCAAGAGCCGCTATACCAGTCTGCTGAAGCAAGTTCGGCTCTTCATGTAAGTTTTGGAGGGGAGTTACAGCAATACGTAGTGTGCTTCAATTGCCATTCCTTTCTGGTCCAAGTGTTGTTGCAGTACGCCCAGAGTACGCCCAGCCCTGATAGGTCTTCTTCGCGATCTGGCAGCAGCACCACATTGGACACTTCGTCAAGGCTCACTACGTGAGTCGAGGGCGTTCGGAAGTCGTAGGAGGGCTCCGCAGTGTTGGACTGCGGCGGCAGCTGCGGGAAAGATGCGATTAGGATCCAATACCCGCAGGAAACGGAACCTAAACTCCTGCCGTCTCTGAAGTACGAGGTGTCCTTGAGAGAGAGCCTGCATTTCAGCTTCACCTTCGCTAGGACGGAAGGGTCTTAGTCTGAGCGTCTTGGTCGAGTGCCACATATCCGGCGGGGTCTCAGAAGCCCATGCTTGGCTGCCATGTTTCAGTTTTGCCAGGCGAAGAAGCTGAAGGTTCAGGAGTATATAAAAGCTGTGGATGCTCGGCTGCCACAGGGCTGCCACGCCGCACGATTCTTCCTTCTTTCCCAGTAGGAATTAAAAGAAAGCGCGGAATCCAGTGCCGCAGTGTGAAGTCTCCCAGCGACATAGCAGGCAAGCAGGCAGCTATGCAGGCTGAGGCTTAAGCCCTTGCAGCGAACTGTGGGTCTTGTGTGAGCATGAGAGTCGAAACTGCAAGCCAAGGACAACGGCTACGTCAAGGCGCCGCTTGCCTACAGCAGCTCTCGGGTGTGGAAGTCGCTTTCGTTGAGTGAGAGCTACGAGAGGGGGGTAGGATACATGGTCGAGGTAATGTTGACCCCTGATTAATAACCCCCCCCCCCCCGCCCCCCCCCCCCCCCCCCCCGCCCCCCCGCCCCCCCTCAAGGTTGTCAAGGTCGCAGGCCCCCCACAGGATCACAGACCCCCAAATAATCCCGTGAAGCCAAATTGCAGTAAACAGTGGTGCTAGTAGTAGTAGTAGTCGTAGTAGCAGCAGTAGTAGCAGTGGCAGTAGCAGTAGCAGTAGCCCTTGAAAGAGCCGCTTGAAAGAGGACAAGACGCCCTTTAAATGTAGTCTTGCCCCTTTAAAAGTAGTCTTCGAAGCACTTTGAAATTTTAGATCCCCAGACTTTGTTGCCTGTAATCGTGGGGGGGTTTTCTGCAAAAAACGATCCTTATTTGGGTGCTGCCTTTAAAGTAGTACAGATTGGGGCCGGAGCCGCCCGCAGGCCGCCTTTAATCGTAGGGGGATTATTAATCCTAGGTCAACATTATGGAAGATCAATTGCGTGCTCGCTGGCGGTCATCCGTACAGTCCAGATGTAAAAAGGAACGAAAGCCCCACAGTGGCCCCGCGTGGCAATCGAAGGAGCCAAGGTGCAGAAAGGGCTTCGACCTTGTAACAGACCGAAAGGTCGAACAAACGCACCTGCTGCCTCTAACTCCTCCTTCCTGCTAGGTTCTAGTAACCTAGTATCGATCTTATTATAAACCGACCAAACGCAGTCATCCGTGGTCGGTTTCGCAGCTTCAGTCATTTTCAGATCCAAAACTCGGGCACAGCCGCCAAGGAGTACAAGAAGTAATCCAGGATGTCAGCTGTTCCCCTTAGTATCTTTAGTATACTGAGGAATCCGTACCACAACAGTGCCCATGCTGCAGAGGCGCTTGCTGTGGGCTTGTGGTGCATTCATGTCCGGGTTGTCGCGAATGTCAAGTTGCGGTGCATTCTTGAGGGAATAAATTATGCATTTATATCTAGAGGGCGAAGAGGTCGCGCGCCGGCCGTCACAGCCTTCGCAGCGCCACTTCGCTTTGTGTGCTTAAGGAAAGAGCAAGAAATCCAAATCCCCTAAACCACAAGTAAAATCTGTGAGTCGCAACCACATGCAAAAGAACCCTATGACCCTCGGTCACTACACCCAACAGACCCTTAAATTGTGAGCCATCGAAGCCTGAATCCTTGAGCCCTCCCAGCCCGAACCGACAGGTGACTTTGATGACGTACCAAATCTGGTCGTACCTTTCGCAAGGCCACTGTTCGAGAAGCTTCAAAGGTTCAGAGCTTCATGCCACAAGTGCACACCATGCAGGAACCACGATTGCCAGGCTGTTGAAGGGCTGATTTGAAGGGCATTCGCAGGGGCTCGCGCATTCAATCAGGCTTTGCCCAAAAACGTCGGGAAGTTCTGAGAGGCTTCATAGACTAGGTGACACGTTGGGAACCTTTGGTTCCTCTGGAGGTAGCTTTTCATAAGTACTTTAGCACTATAGCTCAGTAAACCCTCTTGTTCGAAAGGAGGCTGAGCTTGGGTCTACCGTCCACTAGTGTTGTGGTGCCCACTCTGCGATGCATATATGTTCATACAAAAATAATGTGCTCCCGACGCTCTTGCTCCCCAGTCCCTTTTCTATGGGTTTACTGAGTGAGAGTTTACAAGGCCGATGCGAGCAAGATCCTCAAAGCTCCTCCACCGTGCAACATTTTTAACTCCGGACTGTCAACCCTGAGTTCAATGGCACCGCAACCCTTGTAATGCCTGATGGCAGCAACCGAGCGCCGGAAGGCCTAACCCCCCCCCCCCCAAATGCTGGAGCCCCAGATTTTGAACCCAAACCTCGACCCATGCTTCGGAACCGGCACAGGATCCTTCAAAGGCTACTTCGAGCAGGCCTGAGCCGGATGCAAATTCTTTAGCTTAGGATGGGGGATGCTGCTTAGCTTAGCAAGCGTGTCTGTTTTTGTGGGGACTGTCCGTTACAAGCATGCTCCTCTTCAGCCGTCCATATCCTCGCATTTTTGCCGGGGGGGCCCGAGAACAAAGCCGGCCCGATCAGTCGTTTCCTTTCAGCATGGCCGTCATTTTCCAGCAGGACCCTGCCTACAGCAACCCTGCTCCAAGTGGATCTGTGGCCTCTTCAGGCTTCCTTCCTGAGCGCTAAATCCTCCGGGATCCAACCCGAAGCATCTCGAGGTGGATCTGTTGGTCGTAATGATTGCAGCAGCCATCCACGACATCGCGCACCCTGCGACGAACAACGCGTTTCTGCATGATTTAAAGGGTGTGAGCCTTGCGGACTCCTCGAGCGCCGCAGTCTCTTCGGATTTGGAGGGTATAAGCTTAGCGCACTCTGATTTGGTTTGTGCGCTTCCTTGTGAAATTCTCTAGGGCTGGGGCTTTGCTGTCAAGCGTCGGTCGCTGCCGCTTGTTCACAGCCCGGCTTGAGGTGTAGCAGGGGTTCTGAGTCGGAGTTTGTGCTTGTGCACAGCAGCGTGTTCAAGTTCCGAAGCACCTTGAATCTAACCTCCAGCGTTTGATGTGCCGCTGTGTGTTTGGAATGTCTGTTCTTAGTCGGAGGCACGTCAAAATCAAGTTTAAGCACACCGCCTTAGGTTCTGTAGGACACTTCGGAACCCATGGCTTCGGAAGGCCTCCAAGTCTGGTTAAGCTTGCGGGCCTTTTTAGAGCACATGGATTTTTAAGCAGACTCGGTGAACTCCTAACGGCAGCAGCAAAGCCAAAAGTATCGCTACTACAGTACTGCATCTCGAAACTCCATGAAAGCAACTCGTCCTCAACGAAGATGACCGACGGAATCGGAAGGAACCTAACGAATTACCAATGACATGCGTCGACCATCGGCCAGGATTTCCTAATCAAGACCAAGAGTCCGCTTGTTCCTCGGCCTCCTCTGGGTGACTCCGCGTGGGCATGCAAACTCTGGCCATGGTAGCAAAACTAGGACCTGGAGTAAGCCCTTATTCCCTTTTTTCGGGTTCAGGTTCCCTTCTAAGCCCCTTTTAACCAAAAAGGGCCCCCTTTTTATTCCTAGGATACTCTTGGGTCTAGAAAAGGTTGGTGGGTAGTGATGCTCAGGAGATCTGTAATGCAGCCATGGAAGCTATTAGGTTTTTCGAAATCCCGTGTCCTAGGCACGAAGGGGCTAGAGCAAAGAAGGGCACCGTTGGAATTGGAATCTGAGGTGCCAACTCAGCAGCTCTAAACCGGGTTCGCTCAGCTGATACTTTCCACTCTAATAGTGGTATGCTCGCGATATTGAAACTGTGTACTACTACACAAAACTCTCACTCTCGGTCTTTGCCAGCTGAGCCCGAATTCGAGCGGAGCTCAGCCTGAAACGAACATTGTCGTTGCAGGTGCCTGCGGCTTCATCAGATCGGATCTAGAGGGGTTTGAGTTCAGGTGATCTAGAATCTAGGCCCACTGTGTGGGATGCACGGGGCTTGTAATTCTACACAGTGATTTGAAAGTCTCGGATCACTCTCCTGGCCCCGAAGAAGAAAGTCAGGCTTTGCGCTATCACGACACCTCGATTCTCGAGAATTTCCATCTGGCAACAGCTTTCGAGTTGATGAGAGCAAGGCAGTGGACTACCAAAGGGCCTGATATCTGGGCTCGAAGAAGGATAATGCCAAGCTTGCAGCTTCATGCCTTCGATTCTGGGGAGGTTTGCGTCTAAGAGAGCTTCTGTTTGTATCACGCTTGAAGTTCGAGGCTCGAAGGGCACTCGTTCGTGTTCTTCCCTGCGCCAGGGAAGTCTCGCTACTGGAGCACAATCTGCCCAGCCCGCCGGTGACATCACTGAGGAGGCGGGTTGTCGATATCGTCTTGGCGCCCCATGGCTGCCAAGCATTCAGGGGCTTGTTAAAGGACCCCCCCCGCCGATAGCACCCTCAGCCTCAGCTTTAACTACATGGTACCAGCTATATACATCTAGTATACTGTTACTATTGCGTGGCATGTGTCTGCAGCCGCTGCATGCGTAGTCCTAGTAGGTATCGAAAGGGGATCGGGAGAAGAAATTCGGCCAGCCACTCTCAGGTATGTTGGTTAAGAGTTAAGGGTCTCTAGAAGACCCCATGCCACGCTTCAAAGCTTGAACACCGAAATTGAAGTTCAGAAATGCAGCGACCGACGAAGGGCAAGGGCCTGTTCTGTGGCAGTCTGCAACCTCTCGCGAGCCTCACGGTGTCGAGGCCCCTCTCCTAACCGCAAGGCCCAAGCCCCGAGATGAAACCAAACTTCGCAGAGAAAGGACGCTAATTCTTTTGAAGACTCTGAGACGTAGAAGCCGTGGAGCCAAAGGACTGACATGGCGCGGCACAAGGAGCAAGTGGACGTCGCTCGGCGATTTGGTGGTACTCCTACAAGCTTTAGTGGTTTAGACCTTGGGAATTCAGAACATGTTCGATGGTGTGTGTGCGCGTGTGCGTGAGTGAGTATCTGTGTGTGTGTGTGTGTGTGTGTGTGTGTTGAACGTTCGTTTAGCATTGGCTCTGTCATCCCCCTGTTTCCGCCATTGACCAAGTAGGATCCATCCTGGATGAAGCCCCTCATTTCCATCAGTCCCTATAAGCCCTAAACCCGCATTGCCATTCTCCCCCAGCCCAAGACCCAACCGTCTCCCAGGACATGGGTCGCTTGGTCAGCCGATGCACAAATCGCCAGGAGATCGATAAGCACAAGCTGGAACAGCAACCCGGAAACAGCGGAGGGCTTTGGGTTTTCAGGAGTAAGGCATTGTTACGCCGTAGTCTGAAGTCTAGACGTAGAGAGAGTAGCTTACTTCGGGTTTTTGCTGCAGAATTCTGCTTATGTGTCCCAAGCTGCGAGGTCTAAGCCTCGCAGGACGACAGCACAAAGCCACGCCTCATCCGAAAGTTGGATGGCGAGGTACATCGTGCACATGGCCGACGTGGGACATCCGTTTCGACCAGTGGCCCAACATCAGGAATGGGCCCGCAGGGTGAACGAAGAGCCGCACGCCCTTGAAACAGATTTAGGATCAAGAGTTTAGGTGACGAGTTTGCTTGCCGATGTCCAGAAGCCGTGCAGGTGTCTGCAGGTATGTGGTGGGACCGGGATTCTGATTGGTCCGGTTTTGAGGGATTGGTTCCACCCGGTTCAAAGAAGACTGAACAGCATGACAGTTATTGCACTCGCTCTGATTACTCGACCGGTTCCCGTGTTGTAAATACTTCGGGACGGTTTGACGTCGGCAAATGTTGAGCCGTTGCAGCCTTGCAGTTCCCTGTCGACGCAGCTATGTATGCACGATTTGCCCACGAGCCAGTGGTGACACATCAAATGGCACAAAGGGTCCAGGTTATGTGCTTGGGTTTCAATGGCAAGCGTTAGGTATAGACAGGCATTCTTTTGCTTTGGGCCCGAAATCCTAAGTAAGCCCGGTTCAAGCCTTACCCATCCGTGTTCCCGGGCCGCATATGTTTGGGGGGGGCCCAGAAGCTAGCAAACGGGCGGTTTGACCCCAGCATGAGTGCAGCCAAGGTTCATCGCGCAGGGCGACCGCGAAAAGGAGCTTGGCTTGACGCCCATCGCGACTCCGCGGCAGAAGACTACCTGGAGTCAATTTAGAATAGTTAGTAGGTCGAGTTTCAGAATCTGATCCGACGTGACTCTGCATTGCCGCGCCTAGAAAACGCAGGCTTTTGAGGTGGCAAGCTCAAGGCGTGTCTAAGGTTCCCGAATGAATCCAAAGAACTACTGCGGTTGCCCCAGAGTTGGATTCCGGGCTTGAAGCACCGGCTTTCGAAAAGTGAAGAACAAAGCCAAAGTCCGCTAAACAGGCTAGATGGATAGGTTGATAGATAGATGTAAGGATAGTTGTGTCTGTATGTTGTACATGTACAGGTAGGCTTTACTCTAGAGGCAATAGTCGGACGACCGACCGCCAAGCACAGGACATGTTCGATCGGGACAAAGCACCGCCTCTGCCAAAGAATCAGCTCGGATTCTTGCAGTTTGCGGGAGCCTCAGGTTAGGGAGGGGCTTCGTAAGGTTTAGGGTTCCTTATGGTTCTATAATAGGGTTCCTTAAAGGGATCTATAGGTTCATCCTGACTGACTGTTGGTTGCGTGCACTATGTGGCACAGCAACAGAATTACTCGCCGCCCTCCAGCTGGAATGCCCACATACAAACAAAGATTAGCTTCTCCGAACCGGCTTATCATGATCGTGATGATAGTGACAATTATTTGCCAAGCTGTCATGATGTAGTGGCCTAAATAATTACCAATACTTTTGTGGCTTTGGTGGGTTCCTTATAGGTCTATAATGAGCCCCACACCCTATAGGGAACTCCAGAAAGTTGGAATATGGATTAATGGTAGGATCCCCTATAATTTACCTTAAAGGGGTTACGATAATGATATTCCAACTTTCTGGCTTCTACTGTATTCTAATCATCAAGGCCTTTCTATAGTACTTCGTCGACTAGAAACTATCGGACCAGAAGCGCCTTTAGCTGGGAGTTTCCGAAAATTAGGGGGTACCTTAGGGCTCCTTTAAAGGGGGTACTATAAGGGTACTATAAGGGTTCCTTTAAAGGGCTCTATAAGGGGTTTTAGGGTTTCCGAAAATTAGAGGTACCTTATTTTGGAGCCCTTATAATAAGGATCCTACTATTTGGGGTACTATATTAGGGTCCCCTATTTTCGGAAACTTTTAGCTGGGCCTTGGTGAAGTGCTGGTTTTTATGTTGGAGGCCTGAGAGTTTTTGAGATGGCTTTACACAGGTCGGTGGTCTCTTTACTGAGGGGTTTCTGTCTTAAGGCTCTTTATATAGGGATTCTTATTACAGTATATATATATATACCTATATATATATAAATATAAATAAGTTATATATTTATATTTATAGTTGTTTATTTGCTATATCAGGTCTGTTTAAAAATGGCTCCGCAACAGAGAGACCTGGCCTTTGGGCTCATGGCTCGTCCTGTGTTCCCCAAATCTGGTGATGTTGATGTCAAGTTTGAGCATCCCCGGCAAGGAACCTGGGGGTGCCTTAGACCTGCCGGCCTACAGGTCATTCAGCCGCTGTGGAAGCCAATGGAGGCCGAAGTCAAATCCGTTAGGGATGGGTTGGCCAAGTTTTTGGTTGGGTCGTTTGGAATCGGAGTTCTTTTCCGAAGCCCCACACTCTGGTCCATATAGTCTATATCACCACGACGACGACACGTGAAGAGGCGTTTTGGAAGAAGGAACTAACTACCCTAAACGTGTTACCGAAGACCCAACGCCATGCAGGTAGCGGGTGACAATCGGTAACCTCAGAACCTCGTAGGTTCGTCCTGGCCAGGCGGGAGGTACAAACAAACCTCGCATTCAACCTCCCCTACCTTTTTTGCATTGCGAGCCCTTCTGTTGTCTAAACCATTCTAAACCACCGGCGAGCTGCCCTCCTACCGATCATTTCTAGTGTCCTTCTTGTGGCTGCTTTCAGTTAGTACCCGAGACCTAGGATGTTCAACAGTCGCTTCGATCTATCCTTGACGACACTTCTTCGTGGAAGGTGTCCCCAAAACAGAATACAAGATAATATCATATACTATGTAGCAATTCTAATGTCATATGTATATACATATATATATATATATATATATATATATATACATATATATATATACACACTATGTAGTATAATATAACATAACGTAGAGACAACCCAGTCCAGTGATTCAGGCCACTATAAGAACCTTGCAGTCTTCCTCTCGAGGAGCTCCTCGCCCAGAAGGGGCGCCCTGCCAACCTTTTCCTGCAGCGAAACATCCGGGCCCGGTCCTTGCGGGGCGAGTTTTTTTGTAGGGGTTTAGGGGTTTAAGGCATATGCGTAGTCCAGGTGTAAAAAAGGGTTTAGGGGGTTTAGGCTTTAGGCCTCTGGGTTGAGGTTTTAAAGGGTTCAGAGGATCCAGAGGGCTTCTACTTTCAAGGGCTTTTTCGTGCTTTAGGGCTTATAGGATTTGGGGTTCTGGGTTTGTTTATAGAGTTATGGAGTTCACGGTCCGAGGACGCTGATTTGGAATAATTTGAGAGGCCTATTTTGTGGAAGTTGAGTCTTTTATCGTTGGTGCTTCAATGGATGCGTTGAGGCTTGTAGGCAGCGTTTACCTGAGCCTTCAGGGATGGTTTAGCATTTGAGGCTTTTCAGGGCAGGGGGTTTAGGTGAGGTGATGGGCAGTTGTGAGTGACTGTCGGCACTCTGAGTTGGGGCTGCTTGCTTCGTAGATGCATCAGATTTTTAGCAGATGCGGCATTGTCCTTTCTACCTCAAGACGGATTCCAATCGTCTTCCGGAGTTTGCTTGGATGGAGTTTTGCTTGGATGCCGACCGGAAATCGCAGGTCATGCCAGGTCAATCGAGTCATTCCGCATGGCTCGTTGAAGCAGAAGTTGCAGCTGCTATCAAGGTTTGTGACTGTTGGGGATCTTGTTGCCATGGCTCATTTCTGCAATATATGACCGTTCACCAGGCTTGGCAAGAGCAGATCGAAGCTACAGCCAAGCGCGTGGAGCGCACGGTCCAGAAGCAGCTTTGGCAAAATTGGGGCGTAGGCTAGGAGTAGGCCAGCGGTTTACTGCACTAGCTCTGTCTTCGAAGATCACGATTTTTTGGTTGGGGGGTGTGCCTGCCATGGCAGCGGTTCAAGTTTAGTCCTGTGGATGTAACGGAAAGCAGTCGAAGCAAAGGGATATTGGGGTCGAGGGTTTGACTGCTGCATCGAGCAACTTGGAATCCGGGGCTATGGCGGCAGCCTTCGGTACAAACCCACAGGCAGGGGACACAGCTGCTGAGACCTTTGCTGCCACCATGAACTGAAGAAGTCTTGGTCAATTCATCCCATGAAGATGGTCTCGGCATCTCGAGCAGCACGAGCTCGTCCAGAAGCTAGGCCTGCGCGCTACGGCCAGAAGCTTAAAATTATATAGTCCCAAATTCGAAAATGCATGAATCTTGAAACGACCCCCACGGTCCTAAACCTCAAGCCTCTGATTTGTGGGCAAGTCGAAGTCGAAACCAGCCGTATGAAACCCTGCAATGGCCGTCAAAACTTGTACAACATCATCGCCACAAAATCCTGAACCCTTTGACTAGAAATGCCAGCACCTTGCCTGATCTAGCGTAAGTGTCCAAAAAGGTTGAGTAACACTGAAACTACGCGGCAATGACCCTAAATCCTGAATCCCAAGAGACTCAAGACTTCTCTTGCATCTCAGGCAGCCCACTGAGGTGAACCAGGTTGACCTTTAGCAGCGACCTGGGTTGTTCAATTTAGGGAATAGGGTTTAGGGAGGATATGAGCTTAGACCCAAATTGTAGGGTTACGAGGGTTGCGGCCTAACGTCGGGCCTGCAGGGGAGAATTCGGGATATACTGTATGCTGCAGACGAGAATCTGTTTAGGATTTCGGGTTGTGAGTTGCAAACCAAGATTCCTGGATTGAGGGCTTAGCACGCCCGCTTTGAGTTCTCGGGGTTTGCTTGTGGCCGATTGAAACCGGAAGGCATCTAAAAAGTCGGGGCATACGAAAACCCTTGAAAAGGACCCATAGGTATATAACCTCATTATTATAGCTATCATATGCCCAAGATACAGCCCGTTATGTGCAGTGCTCATGGCCTAGATCTTCTAAGCCACAGAATGCTTTCCGAGATCCGACAGAGGAATCGAACTCCCGAAGCCTATGCACTGGCCCTTTACTGTATCACCACTGAGCTCTTAATCCTACTGACTGGCAAATCCACCCTCTCCGCTCTCCACTTGGAGGTTCATGGGTATTTATTGGTCGGGTTATAAGTCCCCTAATATTGGTTAGAAGTATAGTTACGCTGCTCATAACCCCACTTCTAACTACCCATGAACCTCCAAGTAGACTCTAGCCTCCGAGCCGCAAGAGCTAAACCAAGCGTAGTCTATCTCGAAACCCGACACCTGCGCAGAACAGCCCAGCTCTCTCGCCCGAGCCGCCTGCCCTGAAGAGGGCTGGGTTGGGCCATCATTTGCTGGAAAGAAGATCATGGTCTGTCGCAGCGATTTGAATTTTGAATCTGACTGGCCTTCGACGGTCTTGCATTGCTTGAAGAGCTATGGTTCCGCATATCGCAAAGTCTACGGAACGGTGGCGTCAAGGTTTTAGCTATCGGGATAAGGGCTTTGCCAAAGCGACTGGCTGACCGTTGGTGGCTGTGATAGCAAGTCTTCAAGTAGCCGCACGGAGCCCTGCGAGTGAAGATGTATTCCTCACGAAGTAGCCTGCATTCTGGACCGACCCGATCTTGAATTCCAGCTGTTTTCCGCCCGAATTGGCATTTGAGGTGATCCCGCGATGTCTAAAGACACATTCGAGATCGTAGTTGCTGATGTGAAGGGGTTCTGGAACCGCGACTGTGGTTGGATATCGTCTTCAGCATGCAAATGCCAGGCGAATTGAACCGAGCCGCCAAAGAACCCGACCTGTAAATCGGTGTGCGCATCGCTTGGGAAGTTTGCCCTTGCGTCAAGGCATCAGTAGTTGCTTGGCAGGGCGTTGAGCTACAAACTAGCTGCGGCTTTGAGCTCTGACTGTTCGGAACTTTAGGTCAATTCCCGCGGCTTGCATCATGTAATTCCTTTGGCTTCACGCTCTCCTGCCGCTCGGCAAGACCCCCTCCGCACCAGCAACTCGAGCCTGGTTTTGCGAATCGGTGCTAAGCGCCGATTGTTTTATGTCCTCCGAACAACTCGAGAGGTCTGGCAAAGCCGTAGGGGCTTTTCCACCTGGCTTGTGTGTCTGCCATAGTTGCGGCCTGTCTCTGCATGGCATTGCCGCTCTTCATGAAGTGGGCATGTCATCCATTGTTTCCAAAAATGCACAGCTTGTGTGTTGTTGACCCTCAGCTCCGGGTTTAGGTCCGCTCGCACCACTCCCCAAACTCAGCGTCCCTCATGCTTTTGTAATCTTTGTAAGACAACCCAAGGATCCTGGACCATTGGCTCAGTGCTCGTGGTGGTTGGCGTTTCCTTTGTTTGCCACGTATGCATACGTCATGTGTATGTACGTCTATATCGATACCTCTGTTTGCACCTCTACCTTTCTATCCATCCATCCACCCACCCAGTCACCCGCCAGCCTTCAGCTACTTCTCTATCTGCCTGCATCGCCATGTTTCATACACCGGGATTTGTGCTTATGCATAAATCCAAACCCATATCTACAACCGTATATCATTAATGTAATTAGGTATGTATGTCCTCGTCTGACTTGTCGAGTACCAGTGACACAAATGTATGTGTGTTCGTATGCATGCATAACTTGTAGAGTCATAGACAAATAGGTAGCGGGATGAATTGATAGATAGATGATAGATGGCTACTACTACTACTACTACTACTACTACTACTACTACTACTACTACTACTACTACTACTACTAGATATATGGTTAGATAGAGTGCGGAGTTGTTCAGGCAAAGTGCGGGAGCTTGATCTCTTCAGGACACGCTCGGGCACCCAGTAGCAGTGCCATGAGGCCATGCCCAAAGACTTGGGTATGTTTATGGCTTCCGGGTTTAGAGAGGTTTGGGGTTCATAGTTCCTGAAATAAGATATATGGCATAGGGCCTGGGTGCAAGAAAGACATAAGGGTCCCTTGCGACAAGAACCCTTACTTTAAAATACGGAAAGTATCGCTGACTCATGGGTCCTTTGTTCCTTCATTGGAGGAACTTGGAGCTTCTGAGCCAGAGTGGCGCAATCTGTAGCATCTCATGTTAAAGACTGTTTTTCGCAGCCAAGGGGAAGCCGTTTGTAACAGAATGGGTCAGAAGGGCCTGCACGTGAAGGAAACCTTTCTCCTCGGATGTAAGCATTTGTAGCGGGATTCTAGCAGATGTAGGGCTTTTGTGCGCAAGGTTGGACTCAAAACCTCAAAGCTCAATGCCCTTGAAGAATCGGTTCCAGTTGCAAGGTGCACGTGTGCAGCCGAAAAGCATCTTATTACCCGTCACACTGTTCCACCACAAAGCCGCTGGTCGTCAACCTCGGCCGCCACAGAAACCCTCAACCTAGCCGGTGATTGTTCGAAAGAGCGCCTGAAGCCGACCTGTCAGGTTCAGTAGGGGTTCGTAGCTCTGGATTTCCCCATACTCTATAGACACATAAAAAATAAATATATATATATATGTATGTATGTACACACTACAATATACTTGAGGTGGTGCCGACGAGGAAGAAGAAGCCGAAGGATTACTGCTAGGCGCGGAGTTTCTTCGGAACTTCAGCGGAACGTGCATCGGGGAACGGATCAGGGTAGTGTCGCTGTAGCTCGGTCTGCCGACGGCCTACGTCGTACGTCGCTTCCAGGTCAGCGTCAGCATCTGGAGTGTCCTCAGTCTATGTCTGAGTCTATGTCCCTTTGCCAACGGCCTGAGCACAAACGCCACCTAGATCTAGCTTTGCTTTCACAGAACGCGTGCCGTCAATTCCCCCGAGCGTGCTTCCTGGTTACTACGAACACCCGCAGCCCTTTGCACCTCAACACCCCACGAAAGGGCCCCAATATGCCCTAAGCACCCTGAACCTCAGGCTTCTACCCCCGGGACCTCGACCCACGACGGGCGTTGAGAGGTCGGGTCTTTGGGAGCCAAGGGCTTGGGGCTTTGACCGACTTGGAGGTATTTTCGCTTCCTTGGGGCCGAAATCTAAAGCCCTAAACCCTTATAAAGCCCTAAAGGCATCGTGACTTTGGGGCTTTAGTGGGGCGCTGAAGGTGGACCTTTGAATGCTTCCCGTGCGGAAATACATGAACCAACATAGGCACCGCTACCACCCGACACTCGGTGCGAGCTTGGTGCCTTGTTGATTTTTGTTGAAAGATGAATAGCACTGAGAATCTGCTTCTTAATCTCAATGCTGGGACACCTAAAACTCCCCTTCCCACTGTCTCGTCGATTATATCGAGTTAATACCTGCGGGAATCTCCTTGCGAGACACTCGCAGTCACTCGCATGTTGTTTGCCATCAGCGCGGGGCTGTCTTGAAACCTATCTTGATGCCGTGTTTGAGTATGTGTTAGTAGTTGCTTCGAGAGGCTGTCTAGGTGAGAGACAGACGGAGACGCTCCCGACGACAACGAAGCTGCCGATCCAAAAAAGGACCCTATGCTACCCGTGTAGAAATGCAGGCTTGATTACCCGAGCGCGGACCAAGCAGGAGAAGGCGAATGCAGAGGTGAGACGGGCCGCTGGATGTGCTGTTGCAGTCCTGCTTGCGGTGCGACGAGGAGGTATGCACATCCGAATTTGCACGCAGCTCCATTTAGCGGATGATGTACTCTTGAAGACTCGACCAAGTACCGAAAAGCAAGAAGGCATCGCAACAGTGTGTCTGTGTCTGTGTCTGTGTCTGCGTGTCTGTGTGTCTGTGTGTGTGTGTGTGTCTGTGTGTCTGTGTGTGTGTGTGTGTGTGTGTGTGTGTGTGTGTGTGTGTGTGTGTGTGTGTGTGTGTGTGTGTGTGTGTGTGTGTGTGTGTGTGTGTGTGTGTGTGTGTGTGTGTGTGTGTGTGCTGTGTGTGTGTGTGTGTGGGTGTGTGTGTGTGTGTGTGTGTGTGTGTGTGTGTGTGTGTTTTGCGTGTAGTCTCGGCACTATACCCTTGAGCACAGGCACGGCTGGAAGAGATCATGGGCCAAATCCACGAGTGTCGCGCTCTGCTTTTCAGACAGCCAGTGGCGTGGTGTGTGTATGTATAGATGTATATCTATATATATATATATATATATATGCATATATTTGTATATGTAATTGTGTGTGTTGTGGTATATACTGTAGGACATGCTGCTGGTATTGTGGCAGCAACTAGTGCTAGTAACTGGTGCTAGTCGCAGTAGTACTCGTAGTAATTAGTCGTCGTCGGCGGCTGCAGTACGAGAAGGAGGAGGAGAGGGCTCTGCTGTAGTCTCAGGGACGACGACGAGAGCTGTCAGCCTTCAAACCTCCGTCAGCATTTAGACATCACTGCAGAAGCCGCAAGTCCTCAGAAGTCTCGGAAGCCGGGTCACTTCGGCAGCCATTAACTAGCGAGACATTGCGAGCATCGTTGCTTCTGGAAGTTGCCTTTTTGTCTCCAACTTCCCCAAAGCTGAGAAAGCCTCTTGGCTCAGGCTTCCGCTGGACAGCATCACTCAAGTGCAGCTAGATCCCCGGGGAATCCAGGTGGGTGGTTGTCAAGATTAGGGCCCCTTTTGGGTTCATAATATAGTACGGCACCTAATACTTAGGCTACCCAAAAAGGGACCATAATTTTGACAACCACCCAGGTTTGTGGATTTCAGGATTTGCAGCTCGGGCCTGTGCGATGGTTTCTTCGGGCACCCCAGTATTTTGGTGGCCTGAACACGAACACGAATTTCGAGAACTACTCATATGGTGTTTCTTGAGGGCATGTCTGTGTCAAGTGTCTTGGTTAGATGCGTCCTGTGTCCTCGAGGTTGGTCTGAAGCCGAGTTCCCACTTTTGATGTGGGCTAATGTTGTTTCTTGGTCGCCGTTCAGACTCCGTCAGCTTCGCGTTCTACGATCACCGTCAGGCTATCCAACTCTATCCGGCCACGCAGCTCCAGAACCTGCTCAAGAGCATACTAAAACCTGCCCGGCCGAGCAACTCAGTAGAACTTCCTAAAACTGCTACTCCGTCGAAACCGTGGGCTTCGGGGTTTCTGGTTCTTTAGAGGAGGGATTGTGTTTGGTTTGTTTTAGGGTTTGAGGGTTTAGGGGTTTCAGGTTTGGGTATTAGGGTTTAGGGGTTTAGAGGTTCTTTACGTCCAGCTCCACAGTACCAGGAACCCCAGCCTGCCTTGGGGTTTGTCGTCTTCAGGTCGAATGGGGTCCCTGCGGGGCAGCTCAGCCAGCTGGGCGGGTGGCAAAACGACCCCCATACCTGAACTCACCCCAAAGCTCCAAAAAACGAAGCTCAGCAAGGACTCTGCGTCAGAAAGTTTGATGCCATCAACTTCTAGCAGTCCCAAACCCCATATGTAAGCCCTGATAAAACCTTTGAAACCATGCAGCGCCAAGGCGCAGTCTCTCCTCGCTTCAAGATGCCATGCGCTTTGGGGAGGAAGCAGGCCCTTGGCCCAGCACTTCGACTTGGGGCTTTCGGTTTGCATTGGAGTCTATGGCTATGGCTTTGGTGGCTCGGGCCGCGGGGGTTTGGGGGATTCAGGGCTCAGGGGCCAGGGCTGTAAAGCTGTAAAGGTCGAGAGGTTTATAGGCTTCAGAACGTCTAGGCTCCAGGGTTTGTGAGCGCGCGTGCTAGCGCTGCCTGCAAACGAGGCCCGGAATTGGCTTGTGTGAGTTTAGTGCCCCAGCGATTGCTGTTATTGAAACCGGCATTCCATGAATGGGAGCTTGGGTTTCAGGCGCAGTGCTGAACAAGTTATTGGCTTGCAGCTTTCGGTTCCGAAAGGGAACTGCTGGAAGAAGCAAGCCACCAATTCTTAAAGCGAAGATAGCAACATACCCCTGCATCCACACCCCAGTTGACACAGGTGCATCGACCATTCTCATGTTCGCCGCAGAGGACCGAGGGTTCCGAACCGCTCCGTCGTGAGCCGAAGGGTGGGAGCATGCTTGAAGGCTTCAGCTCAAACCATAAAAGCTGGAGGTACTGATGGGGCACCTCATGTGGCTTTGGGACGGTTTTCTTCGCAGGATAGCATTCATCCAACTAGACACCCCCACGCTTCAGTTTGATGACTCGCACCAAATCTTCTATAATTGCTCACTAAATCCTCTCACCAGTTGTTTGTTTGGGGTTTCCAATCTTGAGCAGCGTTCGCCATGCCAAGCCTTGCTTTCTTCCTGAGCATCTCCAGCGATCTATCCGCGTCCCTGCCTTTGCTGTTCAGCTTCGGTATCTGCAGACTCTTCACCGTTTGTTTAGCCTGGATCCAAATGCGCTGCGCCTGACAGCTTGCTGATCTTCGACGGGAGGCTTTCCAGAGAGCTGGCAAACTCTGGGGCTGATATTCTGGTTCCACGGTATGCCGAAATTGGTGTGAAGAGTTGAGGCTACCAGAAAATGGACGGCAGAACATTGCGGGTTGAGTTTTGAGCACAGGGCCAGGTGCTCTGCAGTGGGCAACAGTCTGCAAATACCACCAGTCAAGGAGAAGAGAGGAAAGCTCCGGACGCTAAGCCCCAAGAGGCAGAAACTTAGGCAGCAGAGAACAACACCCATGGACCCCCAAAAAAGCAGCCCACCCTCCCCGATTCCAGCTCCCCACTCTGACACCACAGGAGCTCATGCGAGATCTTCAACTTCGAAGGGCCGGTGGCTTTGTTGTTGAGGATATTAGGTTTATGCTTCCCGTGATTCAAAGTACTTTCGTTTCATACACGTGCAATCGTCATGTGTCCCAAAAATTGCCGGAGAGCATGTGCACTGCAGGCCGCTCAAGTGCTCGTCACAAGATGTCCATGTTCCGAACAAGCTCTTTAGGCTTCTGCCAGCATTCCTGTTGATGATGTCGGTACTCTTCCAAAAGAAAGCTTGGTACTGTGTCTGAAACATAGGAGGCTTTTGACCTTGCGGTTTGGGGTCCAATCTGAGTCTTCATTTTCTATGGTGATTGTGACTGATGATGACCGACAACACCTTGCTCTGGATTCCAAGCATGCACTGTCGAGCTACAGGCCCGTTACGACGACTTCAATACTGAGAGGCCGGGAGAAAGTTTCGGCAGTTTTGGTAAGGCTTTGCGATGTGTAGTGCCGGGTGCTTTGAGGCAGCGTTGGAGGAACCAAAATGCCTCAAGCTGTCGTGCGGTAATCATTCTGACACGAAAACACACAAAACCAAAGCGCGGCTCACACATGGCCAACGATAGTGTGCATGATCCACAGGACTGGCGCATGGACACACCTGCAGCAGTCGTTGCAAGGGCTACAGGCCACTCTCGCGTGTGGGCCTTGGCCTTCCCCGGAGTTTCGAGGTCAAGGGCGGAGACAGGCCACGAAGCCCTCAAAACGGCTTGCCCGATCCTTGGCATTGCGAAACGAGCAGGTGTATATGCTTCCTTCCAAGCCCTGGCAGCAACCTTGCCCTATCGAAATCGAAGGTCGAACAAGAAAGAGACCCCAGGCCAAATTGGGCCCTTAGCATTCGGACCCTTGTTAGTATTCCTCATGATAAGAACCCTGCGTGTTCCACCTGCTACACCGAAGCCCGCCGAGGGCGACTCTCTCCCAGAAGAAGGCTCTCCAACACACGCTGCTCACGCAAGACTGGCGGCGCGGGCCCGAGTTGCAGACATCCGGCTTCGTAGGGTTTGAGGTTTCAGGATCTTCGGATTTAGGCAGTTTAGGCCTTAGGGCTGAGTCAGATAAGATCGCTATTGTTGTTGCTATGGGCGAGGAATGCTGCGGGCACCGCTGCCGTACTCTCAATCGTGTGAATGTTGTTTTCAGTCAGTAAGTACCTACCTTACTGTCTCTACAGTGACTCCTGTTCATGTATTGTCAATTATATTGTTGCTGTTCTGCTTGTGTTCTTTGTTGTTACTAGTTGTTGGTATTGCCTTTGGTTTTTGCTCGCTGGCTGTTGCCGGAACGGCCGATGTAGAAGGGATCCACCAAAGCACCCAGGTCGACGAGGATCCCCAGTGGTGGCCCGAGAAATTATCGCAGTGAGGCAGAGAAGAAGTTCGCTCTTAAACCGTGCGAGTCACGTCTATGGCAGTTTGCGGAGATTTGGATAAAATGAAAACGAACAGAATGGAGTTCGAGGCCAGTTCCGGGAGCAGCAGCTTGCTGTGGCGGCATGTCCTGTGAGCAAGAGCACCCGCCTCGGGTGAGAGCAGCCCACACTGTAACATTGCACCGTGTTCGACTCCAAACCGGGTTCGTGCTTTCACGGTTTCCCTCAATTCCATATTGCAGGTGTTCAGAGCTTTTGGTAGAGTTTCTGTACGTATATTTGAAGGGGTCATGAAGGTTGACGTGTATTGTGATTAACATCTACTGGTGATGATTATGATGGTGAGTGCTGTGATGTTGACTCTGGTGACGGTAAAAGTTGCGACCTTATCGTCATCGTATTGGTGGCGACATCCGAATCCAACAGTGATCGCGATGACTGCTGCCATCATAATTAGGACGTGCTGGGTGATCATCATTCCAGCCCTGCAGAGCTCTTTGCTGAACTGTTCAGTGAGCGGTGCTGGTCGTGTGTCACTCGTGGTATATCGTGGTCCAGGTTTGTACAGAAATGACCTGTAGGCTCTAGTCAGAAATTGCGGCGCTTAAGCCGTCGAAGTGCGTAGCCGCAGACCTGAAACAGCTCCGGGCTTCGTTGCAACACTCCAGCCCTCAACCCAATTCACAAACGCAATGAACCGAAGATTCTGGCAGCAAACCATGAATCGCAGACAGCACAGTTCTACGCTGAGGCCTGCAGACAAGCCTCACGAATTTCCTGGAGATCAACTTTGCATCGACCGACGACCTCAGGGCCCGGGTTGTGGGTCTCTCGTACCTTGGGGCTGGGGTTGTGGTTTTATAGCTCCGGGGTAGTCACTTGTGTTGTAGCAGGTCGGGTTCGGTATCCTGGAAACCCCAAATCTGAGAATGAAAGCAAGCACCTAGAGTTGACGAGAATGCGAACTTCAGGAACAGAACTGTTCAAGATGCCCAGAACCCCGAGGGAACGTGTCCTTCTCGGTCCTGCTCTGCTATGATGATCCTACGCTAACTGGAAAGGTGAGCACTGAGAATCTGATCGAGCTGCTGCCGGCCATTGTCTGAGCCCCAGTCGGAAAATGGCAGGTTCACCGGATGAGAATCAGCACAGCATTTGCGGAGCCAACAGAATTTATCCCGCCTAAAGGATTTACGGTTCATGTTGTCGCCCTTTGCCGCTTTATTGCAGGACTTGTGACTAGGTGCTTGCAGCTACCGTTGCATGCTTCTGCTGGATGCATTTCATCGGGTTAGCCCGTTTTGGGGCTCTCGTGCATCTTGAGAGGTCGCTGAGACGTAGTGTGTGCAGCAACTACTGCCACATATAAGGCCACAGCCTTGCAATATATTATTCAAACTTGTTCAGGACGGATAAGACCACAGATGAGCTCTGAAGATGGAGCCCTTGTAGCATCAGCACAGGACAGCAGCATACTCGCGACAGACTTCGAAAAATTAAGATAAAGCAGCCTAGCTAGCCCTGGGTGGTTGGGGAGCTTCGCGAAGACCGAAGACTTTGTGGTCGCATATCTTGTGAATGTGGCTTTTGTTGGCATCGTTTTGGGAGGGCCAGGATTTGCCGCTCCTTCCTGTGCTTGACATTGACTTACCTGTGGTTAGTAGGGAATGGAAAAATGGTAGTAATAGTAGTTATATGTGTACCCCATTTCTCCATTCCCTACTAATTAAAGGTAAGATTGAACCCAACAGCTTCCCATCCAAAGGCTTTGCACCACATACTTGCGCAGGTTCGACAGACTATGACGTGTGGCCGTGTTGCGACTCTTATAAACCAGCCCGAGGTCCACCGCAAGAATGCCTCTGGACTTGGTCAGAACGCACCAGGAACAGAAGCCGTCCCAACAGAGTCTCTCGAAATGCTGCTCCGTTGTGCTGCAAAGCTCTTACTTGCAAACTGAGCTCCAAGTAACACCCAAGACATGCTAAAGTGGGTTGGGTGCAAAGCTTGGAGGCCGGACTTGTGGTCTTCTTCCAGCTTGAACCACCGACGGATGTTCTGGGCTCGGAGAGCTCTTGGCTGGTTCAGGGCGTGCCGTCTTAATCATAGTCATAGACGTGACGTGTGGATTCCGTGTGGGTGGGCATAGAGCCTTGTGTTTCGGTTTGGAAGGGCCAAACCGCTAAGAGAGAGGAAGAGGGAAACAAGCAAAGCAAGGGCTTCGCTCCAGACTTCGGTCCCTCGGCCCTCAACACAAAGGATTTGGATTCTGATTCTCATTGCGGCGATATCACAATTTGTAAAGCAGCAGCCCTCGCAGCTGTTATGCTTTTCCCCGTAGATTCGTCTTCCTGTCGAAGTCATTGTTCGTGCTTATCTTCAGTAACACTGCAAACTTCGCCGTTACCCTTTCTGGCACCATTGTCGCCACTTTTGGATGGCACTATCTTTGTATGTTCCTCTGTGCCATGTTTTCTTTGTGAGGACGAGGATGCCAAGTAACAGCATAACCACCCTTAGCGCTCTATCATCGGAACTATGAGCTGCAGGGCCAGTTATCCTGCTGTTACTGGCGCTTGTAACTGGTACATAGTTCCCATAGTTTCCTTATTATGGTAATGCATAATCTATATCATCAACCGTAGTGAGGACTTCTGTTGCAGTTTTGTCGGCTGTCACGTCGAGTTCAAAGCTGGGATCTGGAGTTGGGTGTTAGCAACTCAGTCAGACGGAGCTGCGCGGCGGAGGATGTCTTGAAATCCTCAGGCTTCGGAATACCCCGAAACCCCTAAGTGGGGTTATAAGTCCCCTAATATGGGTTGTAATTATAGTTACCCTACTTATAACTACCCCTAAACCCTAAACCGCTGAACTTGAACCCTTACATTTTTTTAGGAGAGTCTTTAGTAATCCCGACCGTGAGGTGTTTCAGCTGCACGACCGCAGAGAGGACATCCTTTGCGCGGGGCCTGGTCCTACAAATAAATGCAGGTACCCAGTTGATTTACACATTGCGTGAGAATGAAGCGTGTGACCGACCGGCACGAAGGATGACAGAAGTCCTGAGTAGGTTTGTCTGTACAAGCATAACTTACTTGTAAATATGCATGTGTGCATATTATCGCTCTACCTACCTACCTACCCTAGCTAGCTGGCTAGCCACATTTGTGCCACAAGGGCTGGTGCCAAGTCACGACCGATCTGGGGTCGTCGTGTACAAGATGCATATGCACACACCCAATAGTTAGACAAGCGGCATTCATGTTTGGGGATGAGGATGAATGTTATTGCAAGAAGACGCTTCGTGTCGTCCACTCAGCCCGGCCCCAAGAGAGGAGGGCGACGGGTTGCTTGTAGAGGTGGCCGAGACGGACAAGGGAGATATGTACAAATTATATATATATATATATATACACATATATATACTGACATATTACTTCATACATATATATATATATATATATAAAAATAGATAGATATAGGTATACACATGCACATATTTTGTCTATTTCACCCTGCCTTGGGGCCGGTCATCGGGTCCACAAAACAGAGGGGGTGTGGGAACCTCTCTTTGACCGTTTTGGGCCGGGCCGAGGCGAGCTTGAATGCTTCTGTTTGCCACAGTCACGCACTTAAGGCTTAATCTATCGCTTCATGAAGTAAGCACCTGCTGGGGCTTTGGGGTTTAGCTTGATCTATCATTTCATCATGTGAACGTCATCTTAGCCAGTACGAGATGGGCTTCAATAATTACCTATAAAATGATCGGCCCCAAAACCCAGCTCGAAATTTTGCGGCCCCTACATTAACCCCTGAAGCCAGAAGAACGATCTTGCCAGACTCGGGCACAGGCTTCTGGCCTCAGCTGATGGCCTTGGTTGACCAAGCGTCACCTCCCATAGGTGCACTGGTTGTGTGCATGTGATTAGCATTTCGTTGAGGACTTCGAAGTTTAGTTAAGTTTCTAAGGTTAAGGGTTTGAGTTTCAATTCGTCGCATCATACGATCTCGTGTGGCCTTGATGAAAGTCGGCTCACCCCGCGAGTGAGCTGTGTCTTGGGCACTGCGAGGTGCGCAGTCCAGCTTGTAATTGACTCTCAAGCTCGCATGGAGCAGCTTTCGGTAGAAGATTCTTTGACCCGGTCATGCCAGCTGCGCAAGTTAGGGAGTTGCAGATAGCGCATCCGACCTCTTCAGAGTGTGTCTTTTTGTCAAATTTTTCTGCACTATGCACCGCCATGGCGACATAGTGACACAGTACTTCGAAGGGGGTTGACGAGTCTCCCGTCTTATCGGTACACCTTGGAAACACCTAAGCCTAAGCTCGAAGGGAAGGGTTGAAGCCGCCAGCATGGCATCCCGCCTGGGCCTAGCCATGTCTTTACGATCTTGCCGGGCAGTTGCGCGGCATCTTTCGGCGCCGAGCGCCAGGCTGTCGCAGTTCGCGCGAAACTGTCGTAGACATATGGGAGTTTCCGAAAACTGGGGTACCTTATCTGGGGGTCCTTTAATGTCTTATAATAAGGATCCTACTATTTAGGATGTTTTCGGAAAGTCCCATGTGGAGCAAGCCCCGCTGCCTAAGCCCTGCTACTTCGGTCGGAGAGTGAGGGTGTGTGACGATTTCTTTCGTATCCATCTGCGATTGGAGTTTGCCATTCCAGATTCTGTGCAGCATCTGGCAGGGTGGGGCCAGCTGCAGAAGACGAGTTCAACCACCTCTAGACTGACATACCATAACACAAAATCTTTCATCTCCCGCCAGCACAAAAGTACGCAAAAGGTGTATTTCCTGAAGCCAGAGGTCCGTACCCCTAAGGGGTCGGCAGCTGCGCAGCCTGGGCGGTGCACCCTTCGATGTGTCGTCAATGCAAACGATGGAGGTGCCATGGAGTTTTGGATGGAGGGCTCGATGCGAAGCAGGTGTGAAAAAATCAAGTTGGGCTGACAGTGTCTGGACCCCGTACCAGCTGTCGGGGTGGCGTGTTTCTTCCCGATCATCCTCCTCCAGCCTTCAGCGACTCTCTCATGTGAGGATTGCGTGGGGGAGACCCCCCTGGTCCGACTGCAGCGCATGCTTCCTGCAGACAGTGGCTCTGTGGTGCTGTGTCCCTTAGCTGATGGTTTCGGTGTGCTTCAAAGATCTTTAAGAGTTTATTTCAGCTGTGCTTAGACTTCCGGACAGTGCTCGTGCAGGGCTAGGTCCTGGCTTTGGAGGAACAAGCTTCTGCTTTTATTCCGAGTTCAGGCTTTATACTTGAGTTCCCTGTGGGTGATTGCACGATCTCCCAGCATGCCGAGGAATACAACTGAAAGAACAGGTAGGGCTCAAGCCTTGGAGGCTCCCCGGGAAGATGCCATAAACAGCAACTACAATGTTCCCGATCCACCCTCCAACCCCTACAGCCCCAAAGCCGTGCCACAAGGCAAGCTTGAGGGCGACAATCCGGCCGGCAGTGTCAAGGATCGGGCCGCGCTATCCATGATCAGGCCATCAGAAGCACCAGCGATTCTTGAGTTAGTTAAGGGTGTTTGCAGATACATTTTTGGGAAAAACGCTTGGTGCGACAAGAGATGCTGAGCCGAAGCTAAAACTGCAGCCGCTCATCGTGCTGTGCTTACTAGTTAGACGGGAGATGTCGCAGGACAAGTTTTCGAGCTCAGGGATTGGCCGAACGTGCACGACGCAGTTTTCTGAACTCCCCATTCTCTTTCCGGCATCGTCTCTCCAATTCCCGACGCGCCCGCCCACAAGTAAATAACTTGAAGTCCCCAGTTGGCCCTCTTCTGGTCTGAAGGCACCCCCGAACTGCAGCCTATGTTCAATAAGACCAGACTAAAGCGAAATCCCACACGCTTCGATACGGACGTACGTTCATTGCTGCTGTCCGTCAGCCCCTCCCTAACCGCGGTATCGTCAGCATCCCCGGAGCAACAGCAATGACAAAGCAGCAGCAGCAGCACCACCACCACCACCACCACCACCGCCGCATCCGGCATTATCACCAAAATCAAGATTCGGCTGGACCACAACCTCATTTCGATCTTCACCTGCACCACAACCACTGTATCGTCATTACTACTGTAGAAGATCAGACACCGAGCCATCCTCCCTGCACGAGGCGTGCGGAGGCCGCTGGCAGGATAAAACCTGGGGACACACTGATCGAGGCCACATCTGGCAACACCGGCATTGCTCTGGCAGCCATCAGTGTCTCGAAGCGATATTTTGTTGATGTTTCTTGGTTTCGTTCTTGGTTCCCCGGGTGGCAGGAAGCAGACCCCGAAACCCTCAACGCTGCAACACATATACTCTTGTAGTTGAGAGGATTGTAAATGCTAAGGCAGCTAAGGGCAAGGTACCGGAAAGCGGGACCAAATGGCCATAGCTCAGGTGCAATCAAAGGTTACAAGCTCAAGCTCATCATGCCAGAGAACATGAGCCTGGAGAGGACAGAACTCGAGATTTGTGTTTGTAGCTTCGAGGTGCTGCTGGAATATGAGTGTCCCCAAGACGGCACAAAATCCCACAACTCGCGACTCCCCAACTTCAACCTTCCCCTCTACGGTCTTAAAGCTGCTTCAGGGCCTGGCTTCAATCGGAAGGCAATCCTGCGCCCTTTGAAAGCTGAGCCATAGGGCCATTGAGATGCAGGCGCACAAGCATGGCTGTATATGGCGCAGAGCTGATCCTGGTATCCACCGGTGCCATGGAGGAAGCACCTCTTCCAGCAACTATGTGAGCTTATGCCGCTCAGGAGCCCCTGAACACCTGAGATATCGAGACCCTCCTCGAACCCTAACCCGAAACCCTAAGCCCCGCCTGGTATTGCCGAGTGTGAGCCTCAAAGCCTTGAACCCGGAAACCACCCTCAAGATCCAAATCACCGAGGCCAGAGACTTAGCCCAGGCTATGCAGGCCTGGGCTTTTCTTTTTGGGGTCTAGGGCGCAGTGTTGTTAATACTAGTAAGTAGATGAATGGATCTCTAATGCAAGATCACTGACACTTGAGCTTCTGGCTAGACTAGTTCGCAGGGTTGCAGGTTCCCGGATCGACTCTGGTTTCCCAGTGATGTGAAAGCGCTCTGTCCGCAGGTTCAAGCCAGGCTCCGATCGAAGGTGCCGACATGTCACCGTTTACCTCACTTACTGCTGAGCTATGACGGCGACGACGACCAAGACCATGACCACGACCACCCCCGCGACCACCGCCACGACAGCGACGACGAATGCTACGACCAGCGTGTACCACTTTTTTGGAATTACCAGCGAGCAATACTGGTATATTGGCAGATTAGCCTCGTTTCCATCAGTATTTCACAGTCGTCGTCTTTTTGCAGCTACAGTCACCCTGCGGTCCGGCAGTTTAACTATTACGATGATCGCTCAGAGCTGTTCTCACTCTCAGCCATGCTCTTGCGGATACCACACCATGGGATTCGCATTACTGCCCTTTCTTATGATTGCGGCCATGGCTGCGATTATGGGCTGGTCCATCCGTACCATCTCCTTTGCTATCGTTGTGATTTCTCACTACAGTACCGACGAAAATGGTAGGGCGGTGCTATTGCTGGATCTGGTAAACCTGTAAATGTTTTCATTCAGACAACCATGCTTGGATTTCGGAGGAAAAGGTGTGAACTGGCATCAGTTCATGCACGGCATAGCACAGTGCGGTGACTCTGAAGGCCCGCGGGGAGGGCATCGTGCTGGACCAGTTCGGCAACCCAGACAATCCTCAGGCACAGTTCGGGAAATTTCGTGACTGGGCTTTTGTAAGGAGGGATGGTTCTTTGGATTGTCTAAGAGTCTAGAAATCGCGAGAACAAGAGCATCCAAATGCTTCGAGAGTTTCACACCATGCATTCCTAGCGAGACCCCTCCGGCCCATTTTCTGCTACACAACTGCTGAGAAGACTCATCATAGAAGCAATATGTATACAGTGGAAGGTCACGGTGGTCATGACGATATGTAGGTTGATCATATCTTGAGCGTGGCTGCGTTATTCATCAAGGTTCACAAGTCCGGAGGCTTGGAATTTCTGAGACCGTGCATCGATAAAGCACAAGCCCCCATGAAGTGCTGCATAAGTGTTCGCGGCAAAGAAGTTTGGGGGCTTATACCCCCGTCTGCCCCGGTTCCAAGCCCCGCTTGCGGAAAAGACTGCAAATCGTGTTCGGGTTGTGATGGTACTACTTCCCATGACTGCTCTTGTTGTCGCCGTTGCCTAGAACCTCTGGCTAGGTCCCACTCTGGCACAGTGAGTAGTTGTGAGTTCCCTTTGATTTCAGCCCAGCTGGCTACTTGCAAGGCCAGCCTCAAGCTTCAGATCGCCAGGCACACTACGAGACAACTGGGCCGGAGGTGATGAGGCAAACCGGCGGCCAGATCACCCACTTTGCAACGTGGCCTAGTGGACATGTTCTTCGCGGGATGAGATTCCCCCACCCTGCTGGCCCCTTCAGCCTGAATCCAAATCACCAACCACTATTCTCAAAGTATTGCACCGTATACCCCGGTTAGCGCATGAGTATGATTATTCTGGGCGTTTGTTGCTCCTGGTTTCAGCGAATGCAGTGTGAAGATCTTGGATCTGGTTTCGGATAGTAGAGCCACAACCTGGACTGTGGCTCTAGGAGTGACTCTTGCCACCGTGATCGGGACTACGTGGCCTAATCTGAGCAAGGCCAGACCTTGGCCGTGCAACGACCTGAAGCCCCAAGCCCCAAACCATCCATGCCTTCATTCAGCGAAGGTGCGAGTCGAAACCATCCCAATCCCCAAACTCTAAAATCGCAGGGTGGCATCCCTATGCCCCAACCTTGAACTCCAGGTGAGTTCCATGGGTACCACAGGCACGGCTATGGGCACCTCGCGCTACTTCAAGGACCTTGAAGCCTAACCTCATGTACCTCTTGTTACCCTAAACCCTAAACCCTGAGCGCCGAAACCCGCAACCTGCAAACTTCAATCTCGCAAGATGCACTGTTTCCGACCGGAAGCTGGTAAAAGTGATGTGTGACACTTTAGGTGTTTGTGCGCTCGTCCTGGAGCAAGCAAATGCTGACCCCTAGGGGTCCTATACCCTTACACGCTCTACCCGAGCTCTCAAGCCACCACCCAAACCAAGATTCAAAAAAACAATCCGAAAACCAAAGCCACCTAAACAAACCCTGTCCTCAACTAATTTCTAATTGCTCCACAATGGGGTTTTGGATCAGCGACTCTAACCTAAAACTTCTCCAAAGCCCTGTAAGTGTTAACTGAAATTAAGAGGATAAGAGAGGATGCTTGGGGCATGAGTTGTTGAAGGCGCAGACTCCGCTCCAAGACTGCGTTTGTGAAGTTGTTAAGGAGTTACTGGGCCCCCTTGAAGCGTAAACGCCCAGGAGTTCAAACCCGAGGTTCAGATCGTCGGACTCCAGCCAGCCACAGGCGCGGAGGGCTTCGCGACTTCCAAGTAGTAGCTACAGCTACAGTAGCTGTTACTGTTGCAACCAACTGGTTCGAGTTTGGGCGTGCTGATCAAAGTTCGCAATTGCAGGTTGGGGATGTCGCTGCGCAGTCTAGTCTTCAAGCTTGGAGACCGTAAGCACAGAGAATGTCAATTTGCTTATGATGACTAGGGGTTCAGCTTGCCGGCTCTTTTTGATTTCTGAGTCTTGTGAATTTGCCGTCGGCAAATAGCCATAGATCTGAGGCTTGATGGCTTGATTGTGGCTCATCTGGACGAAGTTGTTCTCAGCTTCAAAATCTGAACTTCCAAGCTAGCAAGGCCATACCCAACACGTCTTGAGTGTAGGCATATCTAGGCAGCCCGGAAGCAGAGAGAGAGCGACACCAGGTGCACAGATTCCTGGCATCCGACGATGGCCGAAGGAAGCCTTGCGGGTTTTGGGCTCTCCTGCTGTTGCACCGGGTGATGCAGCCTACATAGTTATTAGTTGTTCAATGACCTCGTGTTGCAGTGTTTTCCGTAGCAACACCTGCCGAACGGCTTACACCTGCTAGTTAGTTCAGGGTTCAGTGCGTCGGTCGCAGAGCAGTACCTGTCATCAGCAGCCCTTGCAACAATTGAGGTCAGCTAATGCTAATTCCAGCACTCCCGCATCCCCACCTTACAACAAGTAGCTTTTTGTTGGCATAACACGAACTCTTCCGACCCGTTCCACTCCCGATGGTAGTGCCCTGCTTGTGCAATGCAGGGCAGGGCACAGGGCAGCAGCAGGACACAACAGGCAGGGCACAGGGAGTAGCACAAACAGCAGATGCAGCGCAGAGGGCTGAGCTGTTTGATACCAGATTGATTTGAGGACCATGCTTCCGAACACAGAAAGTCCCCAACACTGTGCGGGATGTGTTTCTGCAGCTTCAATAATCTGCACTGCCGAGGAATACTTGCCGGGCATTTTCGACGAAGCTCGCCTCGACCGCGTCATAGACATCACCCAGGTCCAGTATATGCCTGAAGAGCCAGTATACATGTCGGGTTCCTCAAGATTTTCCGGGCCCCGACGACACCGACTTTAGCAGACTTGTTGCGAATCAGTGTCGCATGCACTTTGCTTGTCGCGATTTGGTGTTCTTTTGAGGCTTCAGGAGAAGTTTTAGCCGGTGTTGCAGTGCCTTAGTGGTTGATGCTATACCTAATCTTCAGGATAGTGCTACTTTGCCGCAATTACAGTGGCTTAGCTGGAGCTTTACCGACGGTACCCAACCATGGCTAGATCCGCCTTGCTTTTCACCTGACCTGGACATCACCCATGAACCTCCCTCCATTTCAGTATAAGTCTTCAAACGAATTGTTCGCAGTGCATGCTGATTCATGTAAAAGTGACGCACATGAAGCAACGCCAGTCTGCAAACTCTGTTGTCAGTTCCTGTACCTAACTCGGATCTTGGTCCTTGGTGGTTCTGACATCTTCTGAGCTCGGCTGCCATGGCGTCAGACCTGTTATGCGGCTGCCCTCAAACCTTCAAGTAGACTCAGCCCCCTGCGCGTCCTTGCACTCTGGCGCCGGAAATCCGAAAACATTGGATGAAGGTTACAAAACAGGTCAAGACCCATGTCTGTGAGTGTGAATACTGTACATGATGGAGGACGAGGCGGATGAGACGGCGCGGCAGCTTGCTATCCAGGACTCCGGTCAGAAGAGCAGGCCGCTTCGTTTTCAGCTTTGCACCGGCGCGCAAGCCCGATTCTAAAGCCCTCGGCTTGGTAGAAGTGAGTGCGGTGACAAGTCAGGTCAAGACAGCTGTGGGCACATACCTCCCCCGGGCATAGTGGTAGAAGCCTGCTTCCACAAGCGGTGTTTGTGGCTTGATGTGTTAAGTGACTTTCTCTCATCACTCTGATAGCAATAACGTACTGCTAAGCCACATGCCATTGCTTGGCATGTGAGTTTTGGGATCCTTTTGGTGAAGACCTGCTGGTGGAAGGCACGTTTTGGTAAACGCTCGACCCCCCTCATAAGTTCCCATCCCCACTCCGAGACTCTTTGGCCCCCCACTCATTGCTTATTTGGCAAGTAAACGAACCAAGGCTATTGGGGAATTCAAACTCGTCAGAACCGCGAAGCATGGCCCTGACAAAATTTCTATCCGTACTGATTGAACTCTCAGCCGACAACTCACCACACCGCCACGGCCTCGCGACATAACCTATATCTCAAAGCCCTACACCACAAGTCGAGGAGGGTCTCTTCGCAGGGGTCAGTAGTGGCGGAGCGGTCTCGGCAGCCTTGAAGATCGCGCGTGAGGCGACATGGAACTTGTTTGGGCTCGGGCTGTGGGGTTAAGAAAGCTTCAACAGTCCTGATGTACCGGAATCCCAGCCAGTTACATCCCTCGAAAAGCCCAAAGCCCTAAGCCCTATATAATTCAAGCTGAACCGAAGAACTGAACGCATGGTCCGTCTTTGTTCAATAGTAATATTAGCAAGACGATGGGCAAGAGGAAAAAGAGCAAGAACGAACGTTTCAAAGCATGTGTTCATTTCTTTCGCCTGTGATTGTGTGTTTGTTCTTGGTTTTGCCATTTAGCTTGGCTCACTCCTTGTCCCTTAGTGAAACACGCATAACAATGTAGCGAAAGCGGCAGCACGAATGCTGGCTGCAATTCACTGCAAAAGCACTTTGCTGTAATGTAACAGAAGGAGCACACATTAACCAATTCGTCTCCTTTCAATGTAGTTCAAGGGATTCGCTACACTCTTCATTGTACACGGCTAATGAAATGAGGCGGGAACTTTGTCAGACACTACTTGCTGCCTGATGTTTTGCACCATTGCTGCCAAGGAGCCAGGCAGAGTAGTGGTGTGCATCATCTGCGACCGCGGCGATCGCTACCTCAGCACCGGGGTCTTCGCTCCACCACCACCTTTGCATCACAGCATCTTGCCTAACATCGTACACTGCGTGGGTTTCTCTCTAAAAAGAGGTCTTTTCTCCGACCCTAGGTACTGTGCAGACAGCGGTGCGCTCGTAAGACCTTCCCGAGCGTACCGAACCGTAAAGAACGAACCATGCCTGCACCCTCAACCGCGGGGGTTTGGTTTCGAGTTACGTGCCGGCCAGTCTGTGATCCGCAGTTGAAGCTGGCCTCAAAATAGCAAACAGCACCCACCGAAGCCCATGTCGGGAGGCACGAAGTGCTGCATCCTGGCAGGCTGCATTTCGGGCAACCTCGATCTGACCTTGCAGAGCTACAGGAAGACGGTCTCAGATCAACACACTCCGATCTTCATGCTCTTTACGGCCCCGTGGTGCCCAGAAACTCGGCTCAGAGCAGTTAAGAACCCCGACCTGACGCCTCCTAGCCGGCCTTCGCCTGACGACGACATTCAGAGCCGACTCATCATGAGAAATTGACCACACGAGCTGTGGTGACGAGCCTGCACTATACTCGTCGTCGTCGTCTTTTGCCGGGAGTGCAATGGGTTTAGCAACCACATCCCTAACAGACTAAAGGGCACAGAGCCAGGCAAGGAACTAAACCGAAAGGGGAACCCAGGGGGCAGGCTTACAAACACCAGAAGTCAAGAGCTACGGATCAACTCCACGCCGCTCAGGCTCAGGCTTCCATGCTGGACATGTCTCTCTCCATGCGCGTCTGAAGAAATCAGCGTCACGATACAAGGTGCACCACTTACACTCAATAACGGCGTTGCTGTTCCGGGCGCTCAGCCGTAGAAGTCAACAAGCACATCTCATGACATCCATTATTTACTGCATTACGGCTGCTGTCAGGGTGCACCCGCGTGAGCCTGGCGTGATGCTCACTTCGCAGCTCCTCGGGAACCGCTACCGTTCGTGTACCTTTCTTAAGGCAGCCATTGGCCCACAACTGTCGTACTGTAGCTTCATTTGCAGGGTCAGTGGTCGCTTGAACGAAAGGTCCTGGCCTGGACCCTCTCAAAAACTCATCAAACCCCTGCGGCCCTGGAGCCAGTCTGGCCCAACGGCGCGTGCCATCTTCAGACTCTAACCACTCCCACTGCGGCTTAGCAAAAACTTGCACCTGCACATCGACGTCCCAGACCTGCGGGGCAGGCGGTGGCTGGAGTGTCTGCGTCATGATCGATGTTTTTGCTCTGGCCGCAAGCAGTACCGATCTAATGAAAGTGAGGACAAGCTTGCGATGCGGGTACTGGGCATGCCCTTGCCTGCACTATACTCGTGGTTCTGGGTAGCAAAATGAGGGGGATGTCATCGCGTTCGTGCCAACATCTCCGCTCAAGGTTTGCCACAAGGTTGCGTTTGTTGATGAGCAGCACCCCAGGATACCCCGGGTGAATCAGTTGCCGTTGCCAAGGCCCAAGGCCATGCACAATTTGCCAGGCAAAACGGCATGCATGATGAACGGATATATGGTCATCGAGCAGTTATCTCTTGATGGCATTCCAAAGTCACACTTCTGATGTCTTGGAGGGTATCACATACCACCAATTCGCCGCGGGGTTTCAACTTTCGGCTGCTAGGCTACCAGATCCGATTGCAATTGTCGGTTGGAGTGTAATTAGAGCTCAAGGAGTGTAGCTTTGCCTAGCCTACCTATAGTCTCCATTGTAGTTCCTTTTTGGGGTTACCTTTTGGGATCCTTAATATAAAATTGGTTAAACCAAAAAAAGGAACTACAATGGAGACTATAGGTACTGCCTGTGTAGGCCCCAGGTCCGGACACATGGTCCATCATGAAACACCCCAGAGTGGCAGGCGACAGTAGTTTGCGGGACCGGTAAGAGCCCCCGCAGTCCTACGTACTATATACCCGAAACGAAGCACGCGAATCCCTATAGTTTATAGCAGAGGCCAGTACAGCAATTCCAGGATTGCATCACGGCTCTACCTGTCATCGATGGCCTGTTCGCCACGCACGTGCGAGGCGGCTCACTTCTTCGGTGCATGGGCTGCACTGGTTGGCTGTTTAAGTTGTGTCAGATTATAAGGTAGCCAGACATGACAGTGTTGTTGTGGAGACGTGTGCTCTACGTAGCCTTTGGAGCATTCAAGCTAACTTGACTTGAGGTCCGGAGCTTTAAACAACAACTTATTGTACCACCGCCTGTCCGAAGTCGCAGAGATACTTCGGATGCACCAACTGATTGTACTCTTGTCTAGTCCTGCTCGTTAGCTTCCTGACTAGCAACTTGCCATTCTACATAATTGAGTTGGTTCTGGAGCATGCACAGAGCACAGACAAACTCTTCGGAATGACTGTGGCTGGCATCTCGAATGATGAAACAAGGAAGTCCTTCAACATCCCTATACGATCTTTTCTTGAACGTCCACTTTACGAATCCCTCGCCTGTCAGTTGCAGTCCGGATCAGGTCTTTGATTGTCTTGGGTACAGTCGTTCTTTCTGTTAGGATCCTTTCTTGGGTCTCCCAAGCATTGCCTTGATGATGGCACGGCAGAGAGAGAGTGAGAGAAAGCTTATGCCACGCTTAGAATAAGGACCAGAAGTCAGAAAGGGACTTCTACTCAAAGCTTGCAATGACGGCAGCGGATTCCAGACCCGAGATAGAACGAAACAGATCCGACTTGAGGTTTCGGTGCAAGGCTTGGGGGCCTTGTTTGGGAGGTTGTCGCTATTATGGTCCCTTGATGGGTCCCTACTATAATACGGCACCTATTGTTCGTTGTACCCAAAAAGGGACAACAATTTTGGCAACCACCCATCGTTTGGGACTTTAAGCTTTAGGGCTGCTACACTAAACCAGAAGGATTACGGGCCCGGGCCCATGTGCCAATGAAGCGCTTCCCCTGCCCTTGCCCACATCACTCACCCAACCTCAGCCGGGAAGAGAAGTCTATACATGACGGCCCAATCAACTTCTTGCTAGACGGCAGGGAAGCTTGCATGAAGAACCCATGCTGCTGAGGTGCATTGTGAGCAAGACTCGGGAGGAATGGAAGGCAGAAGGGAAAACTCTTGTGGGGGAGTCTCTTTTCCTTAGTCGGTGTCTTGCACCTGCCCAGATTAATTTCGATTCGAGGGTTTGCGGTAAAGTTGAAGTCCTGAAGTCTTGGACCCCTCGTCACCCACGCCTACAAACCCTGCCTCGCTCCGTCGGAAGGATTCCACTCACCCGCTGCGCTCCGACCTGCGCTGGCGGGAGGCTCCATTCCATGGGGGCCTAGCGGCGGTCCCGACCCTGGCGTTCCTGGACAGCCAGTTTTTTCTGTTATATCAAATCAGATGGTATCAGTCAGGATGAGCATGGTAATGGCGCATGGCGGTGAGTGTTAACAGGCGCTATGGGTGCTTGTTGCAGGTTTGGGAAATAGGTAATGAGCAAAGACTCGGATGAAGACTGCCCGTGGTCATCCTGACAATGGCTGTCAACAGTAATTATGACTTCTGGCTTCGATGTCTAGTGGGTGTTGGTGTTGTCGTTGTCGCAACGTTGTGTTTGTTTGTATTCGAAATGCGTATTGCCAGAGTCGCACTCATACGCTCGCCATGTTCATGATCGTCACTACTTGTCATCACCTTGAATGGCATCAACATGTACATCTCAAGATTATCAAGGCGTCTTTTCTAATATCTCGACAGAAGGCCAGCTTGCTACGCGCACTCGTGCTGCTGTTCCACACCGTTCAATCAGCTTTCATTTCACCACGAGCTTTTAATGGACTATCCCCAAGCCACTCCCAAGCCCATCCAAGCTTTGAGGCCTGCAACCGGAGCAGGCATCCCTTGTGGGATCGTAGGTCCCTGCTGGGCTGATAACATAGTTGCTGCTGTCCCCATGAACTTTGTCTTTGCCTTCCGCCCCACGAAGAAGTCTACACCTGTCCGGAATCTGCGCCCAGGATAATTGACAAAAAAGAGGCCGCTTCAATCCTCAACCCTACTACAACCCAAGCCCGAATCTAATCTGGAAAGAGTGGGGGGGGGTGGGCACAAACCCATGCAAAGCCCTGAAGGATGAAACTTCTAAGCTGCGAGCCCCGAACTTCAAATTTACGCCAGCGGAGATGCCCGAACTAACCTTACCAGAAGCATGCCAAAAGTGCTAGACTGATCACGACCTCTGTCACGTGCGAGCGGGGCTGAACAGCTTGGGAAAGCACAGCTCGCAACAACTTGCAATTTGCGCCATGTTGTTCCAGCTTCCAGCATCCACACCATGTTACCACCCACGAAGTTCTCTGCACAACGACCAGGACCGGGAGACCAGTAAGAGACGACCAGGAGACCGGCCTTTGACCACCACAACACAAGGAGACAACGAAGATCACAAGAGACCACCCGGACGTTGCCAAAATGCTTTGCATTGCATCCAGCGAAAGATTCCAGAGCACAGCGGAATCTGTTTCCTCTATATTGGCGGCTTCCAATTGCTTTTCTCGAAGCACGGGCGAATTTCGGGAGCAGGACAATTATGCTTCATGCTTCCCCCTCTTAGCTTGTGAGGGATCCAATACCCGGAATCGTTTCCACCAAGTCGAGAGCCAAAAGTGGTCCAAGCCAAAGGCGGTCCATGTTGCATTGGTTGCAATGAATCCTAGCACCAGGGCGTGCACGCGTCAGGCGAATCCTCCTCAAATAATAGGATGCCAGCGAAAAGTATGCACTGCACCACAGCAGGAAACGCACACCGCAAGCGTCTTGTCTAAATACACATCAATCAGTTCGCCTTACGTACATTGAACGAAAGAACCCATAGTTCTACAAAGCTGTTCGGGGAACCGAGAACCTAACATGAAAGCAGCCCAGATACTTGGGAACAGCTGCCGATCCGCTCGAGCAGCCAGTCATCCAAGCGGGTCTGGAGGGGCTCGATGCTCCGGCTTGCACATAAAGGCTGACAATTTTAGGGGTCAGGGCATAATCTTGGGGTTGAAAGCGTACGGATGCGATTACTGTTAATTGGTGTCTCGCCGCATCCCCGTTAACTACACCATACTACACCCCTTCGCGTTGGAAGGTTTGCGAACCAGGCTGTCCCGCAGGTCGAAAAGGGCATGCAGTCTTTAAGAAGATGTCTTCATGGTTGGTTCTCTCTCCCAGCAAAAGTTGCAGCATGTACCCGCGACAACAAGCCATACATGAAAGCCTTTTTGCAATGACCCAGGAAGCAGCTGAAATCGAGAGCAAGGTGGGGGCCTTCCTGAAGCAGCATGGATGTCGGTTGGAGTGAGCCTTTCAAGCGAAGTTTCTCGTTTCAGCAGGTTTCGCGACGAAGAAATGGCCCCATACATCAGAAGACCAAAGTCTCATCACAGCTCTGATGTACTCAAGCTATTTCCCATTGATACGATTTCAGGAGCTGGAGGTTTGATCCAGCCCATGAGAAGTGGGTCCAGGTTGCAAACCTTCTATGGCCGCGCAAAGCGCTTGGAGCTCAATTTTCCATTCCTTTTGCACAATGGGTTCCTGTGCTTCTACCACAAGTTGGCACAGGAAATGCTACCAAACTTGTCAACAACTCGCCACGCCCCCCTACCGCTTCAAGCTGATTTGAGACAGTAGGTGGAACTACCTAGGGCGAAGCTTGTAACTATCTTCCAAGCAAGAAGACAGAAAATGGTGTCATTGTGTTGATGAAGCCGCGCGGTGCTAGGTTGCTTTCTCGTGACCTGTGTGTTACCTTAAGACTGTTACTTACCAATAGTTTCATAAATGCCTTTCACAGTGAAACATGGTGAAATTCACACTCCTGACGCTGCCAGAACAGGTTCGAGGCGTTGCCATCACTGTCCTTCAGATTGTCATAAGTCGGCCACCAGTATTGACACCCATTGCCGTTGGCATTTGGCACTTGCTGTTTCCAGACCTGCAATATGATCAATATGGTGTGAGAATCCCGGCCTTTTGTGGTACAAGCCCGGTTCCCCTCAGCCCCGGTCTCCTTGCGCGCCTGTCTGCACGTGGGTTGGGGCGGCCAAATTGTATCATGCTTGTGGGGTGAGGGTAAATGAGCCCTTAATTACTAGCTGAGTGGATGCACTTTACTCTTTTTGGGATAATATGTCCTACTACACAACTAAAAGTGCACACTTTTGGGGGCCTATGAACTCAGCAACTAGGAAGAAGCAGCAGTTTTCGTAACCTGAATCGGCCGAAGCTGCAGGTGTTGAAAGAATAGTCAAGGGGGGTTTAACTCACGAAATGGACGGCTTGACGGCGGCACGTGCTTTTGGAGGGTATCGAGGAGTTTGCGCACTTCCAAGATTGTGTGCGAGGATGAGGATGGTATCCCAGCAGACGGATTAAATTTTTGATGAGGCAAGAGCACGATTCGCCTAGTATTCAGTACGTGTACGGTCCGTTCCTCCGGCCATGCGAGGGGGAAAAAAATCAAACCACAATGCATCGCACAGTGTGATTCCAAAGACAAGACAGAGCTATGGTGTCTCCGGTATGCTGACATGTCGGGTGCTAGAAATCAAAGCTCGCTAAAGTCATGACACATGTCGTTCGAAAGTATGAAGACCGAGGTGCTGAGATCCCAGTAGATTACGTGTTGAAAAACGATTGCGTGAAGCCCCAGCCGGCCTATGCCCGCATCGCAGCAATTGTCTACGCACAATAGCGCAAGGAGCCCGGAAAGCTGCCCGACGGCGTGTCGGAAAAACAGTTCCGCGCGGTTTTGCAGCTGCTGCCGTTTCAGCTTGCTGGAATTTCGGCTTGTTCCCGCTTTTAGGATTGGTCTAGGATTGGTTCGAGAGCCGTGCGCCTACATGGTGACTCAGGGATCTTCTTGTTGACCTCATCTAAGCCACGAGCAAGGTTGCGAACATTGTGGCATGGGGTTGAGTACCGAATACAACAGCCATTAGTATTGATATGCATGAAAGCTTGCCGCAGATTCATCAGGCCCAGGACCCCCACTCTACATGTATTCGGGCTTCAATCTTTACGGTTGTCATTATATGCAGCAAGTCTCCAGGCTTGCCACCGCATGGGTTGATTGCTTGACTGCGCTCGTTCTCAACTGGCCTATCGGGTTGCTTACCATCCAAAGGATCCGCGAAGTCCGGCTTCTAATCTTAGACTCGGACGCTTCTGCTATCAAAGCTTTACTCTAAACTCTAGGGCGACCAGTCACTTCAACCAGCTTGACACCGCGTTCCTCGCTGCGCTTGTGTAAGCTAGGTTGGGCTCGGAGCTCTGCTTGAGGAACCTCTGTCGGGCGATGTAGCGTCTAGGCTTTGTCTATGGCTCGGCTGGGGCACCAAGTAGCGCATTTGGGCCCGTAAAGGTACCCTTGATATCCCCTGATGTTGCGGGACGTCCATCTGACTAAGTGGCGACAGCCAGCTACATTACACCACAGCTCGAATCGAGCCAGGTCCAATCCCGGCATTACTCAAGGTCCGGGCGCAGTGCGAGGGAGCATGACATCCCACATTGCATGCTTTTTGAGCCCCTGCAACTTGAATAGCCTCCTTGTGACGTGCACGTAGCACTTCTTTCTGTCCGAGACGTCATGCAAAAGCTTTGGATCTGGGGCGAGACCTGCCCATGTAGCAGGAACACACAAACGACTGAAATGAAAGCTAACACTGAAAGCAGCCCCAAGGCAACTAACCTGAAGAAATGGAGCGGTTGTCGACATGAAGCGAGCAGTGCCTTTCGCCCGACTCGGCCAACGTCGGCTTCTGCGACAGCCTAGCTTAGTACGGAAGGGTCTTCCAACCAGACACGGTCCTCTTCACCGTTCTTTACTGCTCCGGTGAGGGCCCTAGGACTGGCGTCCTGTGCTCTCGAGTAGTCGCTGCAGTGCACCAGAATCAGAAGAAACATGAATCGCGAAGCCTGGCATGGCAGCTCCAAAGTGTAAGTTGGAAATGTGCAGCAGGATCTCGTACGTGACATGGACAAGCTCGTGGCCATGTGGACAGCCATCGAGATCGAGGCTGCAGCAACGTTCATGTTTCAGATTGTTTCAGCCATGTGAGCAGTGAACTAGCAGTTTCTCCGTCGTGGGAGAAGGATGATTAGTCAAGACCTTGCTACGATCATTCCATTCGTCCCCTGTCCCAAGCCTTTGTTTGCCGTTGCAGGCAATGCCAAAAGGGCTATACCAGGCCGAGAGCGAACTTTCCGGGTAGAGTGCTTAGAGGTAGTTCCTGCTTACATAGCACGCCACACTTCCGGTTTACCTCAAGACTTTGGGAAGCCCCGAGCCGAATGAGATGCATCGAGGCTTCAGGACCTGATTTCGGGCAGCATATGTGTGCTTGTGCGTATGTGTGTTTGTATGTGTGTGTACATATTATATAGGTGCCCAGATTCTATCGCGCAGGTATCTTGCTATAGTCATTGATAGAAATGACACGCTAAATATTGATTCCGAAGTGGACTGTGCAGTTGGTGCTTCGATAGCAGGAGCTTTGTGCCAGCTTCACGCAAGAAGAGGCCCCAATATGGACCCTAGCATAGCAGGATCCTAATTGTAAGGACCCCTGGACAATGTAAAACCACCTCGGAGCCCAATTCGTAGAATCTCGAGCGCAGGGGGACAGATAGAAAAGCTTTGCTGGTGGGGAAATGGCTGAGTGAGCCCTGCTTTCGGGGTACAGCGTGTCGAAATGTCGGTGATGGAGTTATTCATTCTTAATCTTGGCAAATCCAGTCGTTGCGATTACATTTTCTACCTGAGAAGCAGCCCGAACTGGATCCGGCAGTCCCAGAGCCAAAGTCCACCGCGGAAGGTCACGGGCATGTGGGAATTATTCAACGTAGGTGCTTCGTGTTTACACACCTTTTTTCATGCCATGTGCGTGAGATGTCTTTCCTACTTGCCGCAGCTTGCGTGGTTCTTCCAATTGTAGCCATACGTTCGCAGGAACGGAAAGCAGCCAGAGGTGCCGATGCTGCTGCTGGCTCTTGCCTTGTCGCCAACGGTCGCCCTGGGTTTCTTGTCCTTCGACTGCCCCGCTCCGTATGGAGCCCTCGATCTCGATGTCAGGACAGTCGTTGACCTCAAGCAGAATGCCGACATGGTGATGGATAGCCGGTGGGCGGTAGATCCGGCCACGCCCCGGTGGATGCCAATCCTTTACCAAGGCACAGTGCGTGCGCAGGGCAAGCGCAAGCTCTTCGGAGTTGGCGAGTTCCTTGACAAGGGTTCTGTGACAGAGCATTACGCGCAGATGGGTTTCGACAATCGCCCGCATCCAAACTCATGCCAAGACACTTGTCTCTTCACTTTCTCCAGCTCCTCAGACATGAAAAAGGCGCGTGTTCGCACCGTGACGAAGGATGATGGCACCCAGCATCTTCAGTTCGAGTCACAGTCCGGGAAGGAGCTTCTGACCTGCCCCAGTGCGAAGCAGAAGAACACTGAACTGTAGAGTACTGTGCGAAAGCTAATCGCAAAAAGTGCGGTGTTGCCTGCTTGGCTTTTGGGGCAATCTTACTTTGGGCTTCGCAGTGTCATTTGTACTAGCTAGTGTAGGGAGTGTAGGGCTTGGGGTAGTTTCCCAATCACTCCTCCTGGTTATCGCTGCTAGTTTGCATCTTTTGCTGTCGTGCAACGAAAGAAGAAGTGCAGGTTAAGTCTTCGTCTCATCTTATTCCTGACTCGCCGCATGCGCACGGGACCGGTTGTGAGCTTTCAGCCCCAACCCATGGCGCACCCCAAAACCAGACTCAAGAGACCGAGCCTGAGACCCTATACGGCCTAAACCGCAACTACCGGCCTGCGAGGCAATCATGTCAGGCATTACCGATCTGGTGGCGGCTTGCCTGTCAGCCGCACGACATAACCAGAATTCGGCGTGTACAGAACGGGCCTTGAGAGTTGCTGGGTGTTGCGGATTTGGTTGGTACGTCGCAGGTGGACGTGTGGACAGGACTCCTGAGGACGATTTTGAGTCCATGTAGACTTGTCGTTTCTGTCGACACAAGATTCCAGATAGTCGGCGCACCTCGCTACTTCAAGTATGATTCCCTTCCAACGTGTCTTCTCGATCTTCTTGTCACAATGGTAACCGTGTGTCACGATCAGTGCTGCCGAGGTCTGTGGGGACAAAGAAAGTGTCATCGCCAGAGTCCGGGACGACAGAGGCGCTCGGATGTCTGTGGTGGAGTTAAACGGCTTGGGGCTGTGGACCCACAACCCCGCATCGAGTTGATAGCACCCAAGGTTCACTGAAGGAATCGTTTCTTTTAAAGTGTTCCGCTCGTCACCCTCACTACTAGGGCATTGCACGAGCTTTGCTACAATGGTTGTGCAGCCTCCCTGCTGCCCTGCGTTCTGCTGTTCGGGTGCTCATAGCTGGCCCAGGTGTAGCCTGAGCTCGAGCTTTGTGGTTTAGAGTTTAGAGTTGAGGCCCGAGTCTGAGCCAGGGCAAAGCAGCGTTTTGCAACGGAAGCTTCAGAAACCTGTCTCGGACCGTCCGTCGGACTTCGCTGCTATCCAGATTCTTCGCCAGCCGCGCGCCCGCCTGCACAAACGGTGCTGCCGGACGGACGTTAGTCCAAAGCTGCGTGCGATGCTAGAAGAAGCCGCGGGCAGCAAATCGATTTCTTGACGGGGGGGAGACTCCGTCTGCCGCCTGGCACAAGTTCACACATCTCGGCTGTCGTTGGCACGCGGAAACCTTATACACCCTTGGTGCGAAGCCCGAATATCCAGAACTGAAGCCGATCTAAGCGAAGGATCGCAGGTTGACCGTTCACAGCACAGCTTCAGGCTGAGCCAAGATTTCGGTCTAGCTGCGCCACAGCCATACCCGTCCAAAAGGTGGCAATGCTATCCACTTGGCTGCTATCCACGGGCACTGGCAAGTCATCCAGGCTCGACCGCAGGATTCGGAGCAAGAGAATCAGAGTGTATGGCGTTGCCTGCGCTTTAGCTAATGTCGTCTGCAATCTGCACATCGTACCGTGCAAACTGCATGTCTACCAGGAGTATTTGGGGAGCATGAAGCACAAACACTCTCCGTGTCAAAAAAAGATGGGGGGCAGTTAGCGGCAGGCTGAGTTCTGAACCCTTCAGAGGCAGAGTGGGGGTCACGCTGGCCATGCCAGGTTTTGGCAGACAATGGGGCCGATCTTCACGCCGTGAACGACCACCAGCATCTTGCACGCACTAGGCTAAATGCGGCGTCGCGGCGCATTAACGGCTTGGCTGACAATAGTTGCAGGAGTTTGGGATGTTTCTTGCAGGCGACATCCGCCGTCCGGTCCATGGGAAGCAGGTCAAAGTGCTGCCCTACAAGCCGAACTAGCCTCGCATGCATTGCCCGAGTTGCGAGGGTCCAACCGTCGAAATTTGATGGTTCAACGACTCTGGCTTAATACTGTCTCGCTGGAAACGTTTGTACAGGTTTCAGCCAGTTTCAGCTTTGCGGAATGTGAGCCTTACCACTGAAACCGTAGCGAGCATTGCTGTTGGTTTGCAAGTCCAGGCAAGAGATAGCTGGAGACAGTGCCGACGACAAGACAACTGGGACCCCAACCGGGAATCGGCAAATAAGGGGAGCCAGGACAGTTCCGAGATAGTAGGATCATGAATGGGAGAGCCTTGATCCTACGAAACCCCCAAGTAGGAGTACATCACGATGCAGGAATTCGGCTCAAATCGAGCCGATGATGGTCAAAAATAAAGAAGTCCGGGAGGGCTCGGCTCGACTCCTCGACGCAGAGGCAGAGATCCCCGAGGATCGTCCGATCGATCGTCCACCCAATTCAAGAAACCTTTCAAGAGGGGGATCGGACGGCAAGAGGTCGGATGGGACGGGGGGCCTCAGCTATCAACGCAGCCTTGATCCCCTGGAAGCCAACATCTACTTGGATTCCTTGTTCGGGCCATTGTACTACAAGTTTGACCGGATACGGACGGAGGGGAAAGCCGCAGCCGATCCCCGGATCTCCGACTACCGGCTCGTGAGTGTTTTCATGCTTCTCAACCTAATCACCCAGCTATCCATAGCCTTCAAGATCTATCAGGTGGGAGATCAGACCTATGGATCCATCAGGGACAGCTTGATGGGCACTACATGTTGGAGAGTGTCGCGCCATCCGGAACTTATTGGACCGGTCTATCCCCGGCGTGTGCCAGGCTTGCATGACGCCTTGGATTCGGATTTTGACTGCACTCCGCCGGTCCTCACACTGTCCATTTTCCCTGAGAGTTTGGATACCAACAACGATGGGTTTTGGTCGGAGGAGGAGGTGAGGGATCGCCAGGTGCTTATTCACAGCCTTGGAAGCACCATGGCCAAGGAAATCAACAATACCATGTTCAACATGGCCGTTTATGATGAGAAGAACCGAAAAGGCTCGCGCAGTGTGTCTAAAGGCTCGCCGAAGCTGGACATGGAATCTTGGTTTGCAATCTTTCTGGGCTAGCTATGTGAAAAGTCCCCTGATAGTCGGTGCATAGATTTAGTTCAGGCTTGTGCTCAGGATTTCTTCAAGCATTACAAGGGAGAGATCCAGGTGTGTGTCGCCAACGACAAGAACTTGTGTGGGAACCTCGCAAGCGCCGGTCAGCTGAATGGGAAGGTCGAAGGCGCGCACAGGCAAGAACGTGTGGACAAGTGCGGGGACATTCTCGAGACCTTTTGCGGAAGGATCTTCGGGACAGACTACGTGTGGATCCATCACCAGTTCCAGGACATTTGTGGCCAAGCAGTTTTCGAAAGAAAAGACGGAGTCAACATCGTAAGCTATGCTGCTGTGAAGGCATATCGAGGTGAGGCTGATTCGATTCTTGGTCGTGTCTTCATCAGCTTCCTCGTCTTGATGATCTTCGTATGGGTCATGTTGATGACAAGCGAGTATCGCCAGATCTACAACTTCTTTTACGTGGTTTGGAACACACGGTCAACCGAAAACTCGGACCCCGACTTTGTGGCCGAAACCGACTCGAAGCTCACCGTGATGAGGCTGCCCATCAGCCACAAAATTTTCGCGTTATTGTGCATAGGCTTGCCACGGATTGTCATCGCGTCCGTTGTCATGGTCGTTGGCTGCAGCTTTCTGGCGATGACCAATAACTTGCTGGATCTTGTGCTGAACAGCACGGCCCTTGGCTTCCTCATTGAGGTGGACGACTTGATCCACACTGCTTTGTTGGGCAAAAACTTTGAGATCCAAGTGATGAACCACTTCGAGGAAATTTCCGTTGAATGCCAAGTGCACGGAGCAGCGAGCTCCTACGCAGCTTTGGTGGTATCGCTTCTGATTACGGGAGTTTTCGTCACATATACATACTTGCGCCCAAATGGATTGCAAGATGTGGGCTATGGCGTGGAATGTCTGTGTCACCTAGAAGGCAATTGCTACGCACAGCGGTTGCTGCGCGAGCTATAAAGGCTCGTTTTCCGTAGGACCGTAGGACTTAGAATGCTCGTAGCTACATGAAAATGCGAACTGCAAATGTCAAGAAGGCACGCGTCAAAGGGATGCTGGGACACCCAGTGGGCCGTTTTTTTTGGACCTTTGAGCTCATGCTCAGACATGGGGTTTAGGGTCTGGCACAGTTTCGGCTCTAGGGTATGGCCATTCGGTTGCAGGGTATGAAGTCTTTTTGACCAGCAGGGTTCAGTCTATCGCGATAAGCAAGTAGTATAGTGTAGTTTGTTGACACAGGTTCGTTGCTATTCGGAGGCACAGATGGCCTGCAAAGTTCGCTGACGCTTCAGAGCTCTCAAGAGAGTATAGCTGCAGCTGAACAGCTAAAGCCCTTGCTCTCACCAATCCGACCACAAGTCGCAAGTCCTCCAATAAAGGGAACTCCAGAAAGTTGGAATATGGTTTCAGGGTAGGATACCCTATAATTTACCATAAAGGGTTTAGGATAATCATATTCCAACTTTCTGGCTTTTACTTTAACTGGTTCTGGGTCAAGCGGCACACGCAAGAAGGAGGGCCAGGTCTTGTTCCCGCCAGTTGTGTTTGCCCTTTTAAGAACGGAAGAAGGGAAAGCCAAAAACCTCCGTCGCATCGAGTAGGTACATACATATCACTGCCACCACTCCCCAAAGGCCCAAATTCTAGATTTGTTGTTTCCCAACCCCCCCCCTCCCGCAAAAGAACAGTAGGCAAATGCTGTGTACTATAAGGCGAAACAACCTGGAGCCTGGACCTGGGACCCAAAGCCTAGCGAGAAACGCTAAACCCCCAGAGAGCCCAATACTCCTTAAGCAATGTACCTTCAATCATAAAACATGAGGCCCCTTATGGCTTAAGGTACCTTCTTCAATTGAGGGTGTATATTGGGCTCCCTGAACCCAACACCTTAAACCCCAAACCCGAAGCCCCATGCCTCGCCGTGGATTGTCCGAGTGTGAGCGCCGAAACCCCGGTGCAGATGTCCGAGTTGCGAGAGCGTAAACCCCAAACCCCAACAAACCCCAAAGCCCAGGCAGTCCGCGCTTGACTTGGCTATCGCGGGGCCCTCGGGTGTAGCAGCTTGATTTTGCTAGGCCTCCAGGCTTCAACCGAGGTTTAGGCTTAAGGTTTCACTGCTTAGTGCTAGGATTTAGGGTTTAGATTTAGGTTAGGGTTGAGGGAAAGGCTAGGGGTTTACAGGGCTTGGATTGGGACATCGGGGATCAGATCTACCGACTTTAGGTGTACACTCGAGTCACTGGATACTGTAAGTACCGGTGCTGTGCGAGCATAGCTCGCCGTTCTGATCTGCACCCTTCTGAATCTAACTTCTTGAATCTAGGGCAATGACTGCATGACTGCACCTTCGGGAAGGTGTCTTTCTATGTCGAAGCGCAATGCCCGCACTTACAGTTCTCTCCTGCATTCCGATTTGCATGCTTCTACCTCAGACTTTTGAAGGAGATGTACAAGAAGCTCAGTGACCACGATCATCAGGTGGAGGCGGCTGTAGGACTTGTGATAGCGTGATGATTGTGGCGGTGATGATGATGGTCATGACGGTAAGGCAAAGATGATGAAATAAGTGCTGGTTAAAAACGATGACGATGACGATCACAAGCGGGTCCGAGTCCCTGTTCCTGCAGGCCTCTATAGCAGCTCCCGTGGTGATGTGTTCCCACAGCTAAGCCAAAGCAATTTGATTCGGCACTTGCATCGTGCAGCTTTGCCGTGCCAATCGTGATAGAGGTTAAGGGTCCAGGGTTCGAGGTGATCTTCACCAGTCCCTGCCAAGCAACAGGACTCGTTGTCAGCACCAGAAATCACTAGAACTTCTGTTTAAGGGTCCGGAACCGTCCTGGCGCAGCAAAGCAGCGCTGACTGTTTTACGCAACCATACCGGACAAAGACAGTGCGGCAGAAGCTTCTGAAGTCACACACCCAATGCCTGTTGTCTTCTGGTTTTAGCACCTTCTCCCTCACGTAACCTTCTAAGTTGATTTCATGACACACTGTCTGCAAAAGGCTCCGGTAACCATCGAGAAAAATCTAGCCTCGTCTTTGCACTGTTGCCTCATCAATGCTGCTACCATAAGGCCTTGAAAGCCTGGCAGCAGTATCCTAGTAATTGCGAAGTGTTGATTGCATCTGGTTGCATGGCAACAGAGGTGGGTTCGTCGAGGGTCCGGGCATATGGGATTTCCGCTGGCTTGCAACATGTCGTGCGCCTGAGCCGAAGTATCTCGATTTTGTTGTTGCTGGCATTCGTTTGCGATTTGTTCGGCCACCGGGTGCGGGGTAGACTTGAGCGCACTAGTTGAGGGACTGGCTTCAAATACGGTTGATAGGGCTTCAAACTGCAATAGTTCTCCATCTTTCCGAGCAATCAGAGTGTGTAACATTGATCAGTTGAGCCGGCGGCTTCAAGAAACCATCGACTACCTGGCCAATCAGCACAATGTGATCAGCTACGAATACGTGCCTCTTCCAAATCAGCTGCGTCCATTCAGGCTCAATATCTCACATTTGAGGCAGATGACGTGAGCCTCGCTTAACCGGTTCTGATAATCCCCGGGCAGCCACGCAATCCCAGGTGCAGTACGAGAAGAAGAAGACGTGGTTTAAGCGGCCTGACACCATGCTCAAGTGGCTGCGCCTGAAGAACCTGCTTGGAGCTTAGTTCTACCCGAGCTTCTCAAGTCGGAGACTGCGGGCCTTTAGGCCTCGTGACAAGTTGCCTGCCCAACGGTTAATAAGCTGCACCCTGCAGAATTTTCTCCACCTTGGACCCTCAGCTCAGACCGCATGTGCAAAGTTGTCCTTCTTCACACTTTGACAGTTCCGAAGGCCACCTAGATCCTGGGCCCTGAACCCGAGAGTTCGGACAGGATGTAACAGGCCGTCATACGACCCCAGATGGGATTTCGGAAATGCGGTTCTAGTTCTCATTTTCGGAGGGGGTTCCATCACACCACGAAAAAAACGCAAGCCGAAGTTCCTGATTCAACAAAATATGTTAAGATGAGATGATCTCATGGGATGAGATGATCTCTGGTGGTGTTGGGCATTTTTCCCAGATGCTTTTTCTGCATCTTTAGATGAGCAGCCACACTGGCCACTCTTGTCCGAAGAAGCGCTTGAAGGATAATGTGTAGTTGTGTAGGTCCGGCTTATCGGTGTTTTCGATGGCCTTAGTTGGCTTGTAGCTGTAACAAGTGCGAAGCAGAACCACTACTCAGAAATTATCCGCAAACCTGCTCATAAGTACCTTTAATCCTGCACATGCACGCTGAGACGGAGCAGGCAGCTTCTGTGCGGAGGGTTCATATCCAAGTTTCGTATGTTTGCGCTTTGCGGGTTTCGTTGGGATCCGTGTGCCACGACTTCAGTGTGCTTGGGTGTTTGTTCGAGGCTGACATGGCCAAATGACCGACCCCGTTCTGATATTTTGCTTGTGCTATAACCTACGAGTGCAACAGGCATGCGCATTGCGGAGTTTGGGGCTTTAGCATGCATGCTTTAGGATTGGGGGCTTTCTTGCCGTGGCTTCATCGCAACTGATGGGTTGTTTTCGCCGTCAGTGTAGTTGCCGTCATCCTTCCGGTAGTAGAACTAGTAGTACGAGTAGCAATAGGAGTAAGAGTAGGAGCACAAGCAAGAGATGGAGACGCGTGAGCCGGAGGAGGAGTGCAAGAGCAGTACGCTCGGTAGGAGGAGTAGCAGTAGCAGGGGTACTGAGGGCAGTAGAAGTGGCAGTAGTAGCGTGCTAGCAGTAGTTGTAGTAGTAGTAGTAGAAGAAGAAGAAGTAGTAGTAGTAGTAGTAGTAGAAGTAGAAGTGGTAGTAGTAGTAGTAGCAGCAGTCGTAGTAGTGGTAATGCTAATGGTAACCGTACAGCGTGAGGCTGGAGTACCATTTCGACAACCTCAAGCAAGCCTTCTTGGAGATTGATACCAACCACTCTGGCGGCATCGCACACCCGACGGAATTCTTGTCATTCCGAGCAGGCCTTTAAGGACTGTTCAGCTTTGCAGCTTCACACAACTACTTCCTTCGACTGTTCTCCCCTGACTGCATGTGAAAATGGCATAGCGCCAAGGATCCGAAGAGAGCCCAAACCTCATGTGGCAGGATACAGCGACAGCACTGCTCAAGAAATCATGAGCTCAGGAAGTTGAGAACCTCGGCCAGCCATGTGACAAGACATGTTGTCAAAGTGTGTAAGTTAAATAAAAGGGGAATCCCGCTGCACACTGCAACTGCGCCGTGGAAAGCTAGGCGGCTTCTTGGATATCGGAGCTTGAAGACACGCAAGGGTTTTGCATAAGGTCCCGACAGTGAGACCTGCCAGCATCTTCCACCACGGCCCCAAACCACAAGCTCAAGTTCAAAACCTCAACCACACCTGCGACGTGATTCTTGAATGACACCCCCAAGTACTGCAACAAGGCGTAGCGTTTTAAGATGTCTTAGCATGTCGTAGCATAGTCAACAGCGAAGTGGGGAGGGACATAACACAAGCTCTGCCAAGTTCAAAGCGCCATCCCTTTGTGGGTATCGTCCTATCCATGCGAGAGAGAGGAAAAACATGCACCAGCGGCTACACCCGGCACCTCGAACCTTGGCGTAATCGTCAGCAGCATCGAATTCGATGAAAAAAGTCGAAAGCCTTGACTAACCTCCACTTCTATCTCTATGAGATGTGCATTCCCACACCTCGCCAGGTGAAGTACGAATGGGAGGACTGGGCCGAAGTAGATGTGGGGAGAACTCGCAGAGTGCACATGCTGCGGTTTGGGTCACAGGGTGTGCCGTCAGAGCTTTCAGATTCACCTTGAAGGGTACACCCCACAGTAGCCCCAAGCCTTCCGCACAGTCCTCTTCTCCACATATCGCTGCACTAGGGTGTTGCTGCCTGGGTAGCCCGATGCATAGTTGAAGTTCAGCTTGCGGCGGATGTCTTAACTAGCTCTCATCAAGA